ACCAGCCTGCCGTTGAAGAGTCTTCGGTTCGCCAGCTTGACGGTACCGATGCCGAATGGAAGTATCGGGGCCGAACAGAGTCTGAACATGGCGAGCACCACCCAATAGGGGCTCCGGCTGGACTTGCCGCCCAGAAAGACGAAGGCTTCCAGAGATTCTACAAGGCGGTTGTGTCCCCAACTCATGTTCGAGTTACAGCCGGTGGTCGTATCGTTCCCAATACTCGAGGTTCGTCATCGCCAACGGCCAAGTGGACAAGAGAAAAAGTTGGAGGAGAGGGCGCTTACGCCCATCGTCCAGCTAGCCATGGCCACGGAGATGTGCCTACATATCCCATTCCCGCGGCCCTGTCGCATCAAGCGTTTGGTGCCTTCCCTCCTCTCTTCCCCGGTTTCTTTCCAGGTATGCCTGCTGCCCTGGCTCATGGTGCTCCTCATCCCTACCCCCTTGCCCCTTGGCAAATGGGCTTTGGAATGGGTAGCTCCTTTGGCATGATCCAAGGCCCTGCCTCTCCAACACCGCCAGTAAAGCCTACACCCAAGTCCACCGAAACACTCGGAACAAGCGACAGGCAGGGGGATTCTGCCAACTCAGAAAGCTCAAACTCAGTCCGAATTTCGCCACCTGAGAACTTCGATCCTAGCAGACCATATTATGTCCACGGCCAATGGGTTCCCCCTGGCGGTAGTCCATTCTACCACTATGGGATGACACCTCTCCCAGGATTTCCCGTTGGAGGTATTGGAAGTCCTGCGATCATGCAACCCAGATACACTCTGGGAGCTACAATGCATCCTATGCAAGCGAAGCCGGACCGGCCAATGCAGATGCACATTCCAGCGACATCTTCGTCAACTGCTCCTAGTCTGACTGGGCATTCGGCTGTCCCGATCTCATCTATTCGCCCCAGTGAAATAACAAAGAAGCAAATAGAGAGCTTGAGGTCCACTCTTAGATACTATGAAGACCAGCTACAGTACAACAAACATCAGATCGACGAAAAGAGCATGGAGAATCAAGCCGAAATGGTTCGAGAACAGATTCAGCAGTTTGCAAAGACCTTGAAATCTCAGCTTGACGCGGAGAAAACCCAGTATCCCAAGTCCGGGATTCAACAGGGCTCATGCAGCCCAGTCCTTCATAATAATGAAGGGGACACAGCATCGTCGACAACAAACGAGGCCAAATCGGATCGTACTTCCCGCCAGTCTTCCATCTCACAAGCGGCCGCAGTTCAAGCGTCGTCAACAAAAATACAGAGGGCCCATGACATGTATAGTTGTCGGCGCTCTTCCACCTTGAAATCTGTCAAGTCCGCGTCTGCTCCCGTTTCTGCAAAAATTACCCCAGATTCGTCTGAATCAAGCGAGCCTACCAAAAAGCCTTCCACTCTACCCGTCAATGCTGCACTAGCACCTCCATTTCATCCTCGAGCAGATAGCACTGCTTCGGTTCCCATGCCGCTCCCTGCTCCCATATCTTCTGGCTCCTCGGCTGAAGATACAGGCTATGGTCAAGGAATGAAGGAGGGCCATTCGGCAGGCTCTACTGGTTCAGAGAGCTTTAGTGAAAAGCCATATTTAATCGGAAGACTTCCTGAGGGCAGAAGTCTTGAAAGAGGCAACTCTCCCTGCTATTTGTACAGCCGTGAGCTGACAGAAGATGAGTTGCGGGCTCGCCATATGTACTGGGGCAAAGCACCTCGTCATCTTCAGAAGGGACTACCTAAATTTGATGGCAAAGACTTCTACCCCCCTTCTCCCGTCAAGCCCCAGCGTCCAACGCCAGTATCGGCTCCCACAACGCAAGGTCCTCCTCCTCCTCGTGGAGGTACTGATACCATGTCGAAGACGCCAAAGATAGCTGTTGATCCGTTTCGATCTCTCGGCAGAGCTACTCAGCGCCTGTCTCGCAGCGCTCTTGGGGCTGCAACTCAGTCTGAAAACTTGACAAACTCTGATGAACTGCTGGAGGATCAATACAGGGACTATCAGGGGGCATCATCAAGCAGCGGGCCAGCTGGATGTAGCTATGGTGATTTTCGAAAGGCCCTGGTTGAAAACGCTGATGATTCAACGGATGGGTGCAAAGAAAAGTCTTCCGATGAGGACGATGGCTCCAACATCTTGTTCCGGGGACGAAAATGCATGGCGACGAACGGGTGAGAGAGCCACGAACTACATCTAGTATCATTCATATTCACTAACGCAAAGTCAAGCAAAACTCGGAATGAAATTTGGCAAAGCATGTGGAAACGAAGCAAGTCCAGTGCCACTGCCGTTCCTGGCACAGTGTCTTCAATGACGGCACGGGGTGTATTGCCAAATTATGCCGGTCATGCCACTGCATCTCTTACACCCACGATTGCTAACGCCTCGACCTCGCCAAAGGGGACGTCTTCCAAGTTGTCCCCAGCTGACGACAACACCTCATCCAGCATCAGGCACAGCAAGGTGGAGAATCGACCACTTTTTGTCTCCGGAGGCAAAGAAACAACTTGAAGATTGACAATTCTCTGGTCAACGTGCCGCCCAGGCGTGCATGCGAGTTCCTACCTACTGTCGAATTTCAAACCGTCAAGAACAGTAGCAAGAGCATTACTTATTGCTTTCATGCTTATAGACTATATGAGTAGCTCGCCAACACAAATGTTGGCTGTTGTATGACTAACCTTTTACTTCGCTGCGCTTGACGAGCTATCTGGACTTTGATGCCGGACAACGATATAGATATATATTTCTAAACAGCCCACAGCAACTAACTGCTGCGTTACTGCGGCATCGGCCGCAGTGGTGTCGTTCTGAAAAAAAGATGCGCATATGCTGAGGAAATGTGGCAATGACATGCAGAGAGGAGTTGCGGTTTCTTATTTTTGCATTCGGACATGGTACATTTAGCAATGCTTATGTCAAAGCCACTAAAGATATTGTGCTCGGATACCACCAACCGGTTACAAGACATAGAATACAACAGATGCAGTTCACATATGAACTTCTGTGTAGAATAGAACTAGCTATTTGCCCACCGAGGTGAAGAAATGATAGAAAATAGACCACGGCTGTATATGTAACATCTATTTTCGACGACAGACTGCGTCATGTTAAGCCGTAAGTCATGTAAAACCTATGGTTCGATGATAAATGTTACGTGGGCAGAGTCAAGAATGATCGGTCCGCGTTTAACCGCAAGTCAATCTTCGGCATGTGCCTTACCATCAAATTTCCATCTTCACAGAGCAAACCCTCGGTGAAAATCTTCGGGCAAGAGTAAGAGACTCGTGATAGTATAAAAGCTCCTACTTGGTTTGTTCTTCGCCAGTCGTATACCTCGAAAACCATGGGCTAAGTGGTTGACGCGGAGATATCCTAGCGGGAGGGGACTACAATACTCACCTTTGCATACAAAGAAAAGGGAGCCTACAAGGTCTACGAGGACAGAGCAGTTGGTCAAAAACAATTGCCCACCTGTTGCCAGATTGTTCCATGTAGAACAACCTAGTATGCTTCAAATTTGAAGCTACCGAAGGTGAAATCAATCAGTCACTCTCACGGCGGACTTGACAAGAGCAACATGACTTCGGGAAACGCCTCCCATGGAGCATTTCACAAAATTGGTGAAATGGCCATTGAGAACCAAGAAATTCTCAATTCATCTACCTTGTCGTAGACATGATCTGCCAAAGCAGGCATCTCGATGAAAAAAAAAAGAACGCCGGAGTATCATGCCCATTCCTTTGCCTCGAATTTCCCAAATTTGTGTCAATGTCTTCATAGTTGATCGTTTCTCAAATTTTTGCAGGTGTATGTCTGAGCCTCTGCTTTTTCGCATTCAACAAGCGGTGCATTTAAGCAGAAACCTTGTTGTTGGCACTCAGCTCACGGCCAACCTTGGAGCGGGCCAGGATGTCCTCGCGGTCCTTGTCGAGCTTGAGCTTGGTGATGACCACGTTGGAGGGGTGGATGCCCAGGGGAACGGACTGGCCCGAAGCCTTGTCGCGGGTGACACGCTCGACGTGGATGACGTATTTCAGACGGTAGACGGAGGTGACCTTGCCCTCGCGGCCCTTGTTGGTTCCACGAACAATCGTGACCTCGTCGTCCTTGCGGACGGGGATGCTGCGCACCTAGAGGGGCTGTTAATAACGACACGGCTAAAATTTTCTTCTTCTACTGTTTGGATTGCCGGAGACGAACGTTGTACTTCTCACGCAGCTCCTTGCTGAGAGGAGCGCTCATGATGACACGGCGCTGGCTGGAGGGAGCCTTGAAGTGAGCGGCTCTGCTCTTGCGTCGCGAGGACGAAACGGCTGGGGAATAGAGCATTAGTCGCCAAAGTTTTTTTTTTATTTTATGGTTTTGAATGCGTATGTTCCGTAGCATATGAGGCAAATTGATACTTACTGCTGCTGACTTTGGCCATTGTGATAGTTCTTGTTGAGGAGCAACGAAGGAGGCTCGGCGTTGGGTGATGTAGAACGGACGGGACACGGAGGGAAGGAATACTCACGAGAAAATTCAAAGATGTCCTTGTGGGTTGAAAATTAGGCGAGTCGTGTGGGGACCACGTGACGAAATTTTACCCTATGCTGTTGAGGTGCGGGTCGAATCAAATGTGCTGAGTCAACTCGTCAGGTGGGAAATCTGAGATGCAGTTCCCAACGGCGCTATACTGGATTGGGTTGCATTTCGATGCGCCCAGCTTGTTTCCTGAAGATTGATATTGATAGTCATGTCGGACTCCTAGTCAACGAATCCATTCACAGGAAGCGTGATGCCTTGAATTTTTCCTTCTAAACGCCAGGAGGCTCTGTGGAAAACCGAATTCATGTATGGTGTTGAGTGATGCTATAAACGCCCGATATTTAACATGGAGCAATTCTTCTATATAAAAGTACATGGCTATGCAGCACAATGTTACATCCTATCCTTTCTATTGTACAATCATCTTTCTGAACGCTACTATTTCAGTAATATTGGAATTGTGAGAGGACAGTCAGCTGCTCAAGCTACAGCAGGAGCCTTGAATCGCCCATTGTTGTCATATCGTGCTTCTGTAGACAATATGTCAGCAGCTGCCATATCAAAAGCGCATGACTTGCAATCAAACTTACTGAAGAATGTGTAATTGAGTGTTACCGTTTCCACACCCTTCATATTCAAGTCATTTAGCAGGTCAGGATCCAAGTAGAAGAAGACAGGCATATCCACAGTCTCTCCGGCATTTAGCCTCTGCTCCTCAAAGCAAAAACACTGAATCTTGCTGAAATAGGGGGCACACTGCGCCGGCGTAACACTGTACGTCGCGACGCCGATGATATCCTTGTCGCCTTTGTTTGTGGCCTTGTAGAAGGCCAAAGCGGTCTCTCCGGGTAGGACGCGGACTTCGCGCTGCTGGGGAACGAATTTCCAGGGGAGCTCGTCAGATACAGAGGCATTGAAGGTGACTTTTATTCGGTTAGCGGACGTGATGGGCACGAGGCGGTTAGAAATGTCGCCGTCGTAGGAGCCGCCGTGTGCGCGGACCGGTTGGCCGCCCCAGCCGGTAGTTTGGCAGATCTGCGGGGAATCGGTCATTTAGCTGTGTCCTTCCTCGAAGTTACTTGATGACGATTGCGGATTCCAAACGTACCATTTTGTACAGAGGTACGGATCCGTATGACAGGGCGACTGTGCCGAGAATCAAGCTGATAGTGTAGTAGCTAGACAGAAAAACAATGAGCTTCGATTGTTCCGCAGACAGCAGAAATATGGGTAGACGTACGCCACTGTCTGGTTTTTCCTGTTGTAGTGAGCCCGAATCTGCTCCATAGACGGTGCTACCTGCTGGGACTGTTGCGCCGCTGCTCCTCCTCGTGGGTTCGACGTCGATGCGTTTCGACGAAGGCTGTGCAGGCCGAACTGCAATTGGGACTGCTGAGTCCGAGTATTTCGGCAGAAAAAGCATGCCCATTGTGACGAAGAGGTACGCGCAGAGCTTCGCGCCAGCCGCGGTGCGCTGTTCATTGTGTTTCGCGGGCGGATTGGATGCGTGGTATAGCTGAAGGTGCCAGGGCGGTCGAGGTCGGACCAGACGATTTTGCTTTCGGCTGAGGTGACATGATGTTGACTTGGAGGTGGGGCAGCCCGTTGGTGGCCACGCTGTGTACCTCTACACGTACGGCATGGAGTAACAAATCAATAACGACGGTTTTTAGATTAGAGACCAAGATTTCTTTGAATATTTAGGTGCTTCTTATGGTAAAAGCCACTATTTCAAGTGCTCGTCTTGCGCGTGTTTGGGTGGATTCTTCTCCCTTGGTTATTTAGCACCAATGAAGAAACCTACGTCTAGTACCGCTTCAACTGGCACATGGCGTGGTCAATTCTTCGTAAATTAAGGCATACATATGACTTCTAACGACTTGGAACCGAAATTGAATGAATTGGCTGACCTTTCGAGTGAATAATACATATAAACAATATGACACCCAAGCAGGAATACCCAACTCAAGTCGTGCGCCCAAGATGTGAATTATGCCACCCCACCATATAGCGATCATTAATAATACAAATCATGCCGTTCTAAATTATGCCTGCTTTTCTAGAACTCGTCTCGGTCTGACTCCATTGAGTACTGGCTTTACCGGACGTCTACTTGTTCCAGCTATTCGCTCCAGAATCTGAACGACGAACACTTGGACGAGTAAGATCAGTAAACGCGCGAAATGATCCGCCAGGCCCAACTTTGGTTTCTTTCCCCGGCTATATGTTGAATCTATAAAATCAAATGGCAGTTTGGCACCGAGATGCTCTTGTGCCACATGCAGACCGCTGCTGAAGCCGTCTTCGTGAAATCCGTATTTGGTCCAGGCTCCGGCGTAACTAATTCCCCGTTTGTTTTGTATATGTCGCAAAAACTTTTGGGCCCGAACGGCTGTTGGTGTGTACAGTGGATGCGAGTAGAAGAATCTTGCCTTGGTCAGGGCGGCGCGAGGTCGATGAAGAGGGTTCAAGGTGACGAGGACATCGCCGAATGGCTCTCGGGGGATGTGCTGTAGTATGTTCATGTTGTAGGTCAAAGATACTTGGTCGACGTTGGTTTTGGATGAGGAAGATAGGGTGAGGTAATTCCAACTGGACCAGGCCTTACGGTTCCTCGGCATGAGTGTTAGGTCAGAATGCAAAACAGTCTCATTCTGAGATGTTTGGAAGCACGACAGAATAGAACGTTCCTGATCAGTCGCAGACGGTCCCAAGATGGCTAATGCCTGATCACCATGAGTGGCCAGGATTACATGATCAAAAGTGTCTGATTTTCCATTTTCAAAATGCAGCACGACGCGGCCGTCTTCGTCATTCGAGAGCTGTCTCACGGCCGTATTTAAAAAGAGATGGTTAGGCGGGAAACCTTTCATCACCGCATCAATATATGATTGTGATCCTTCCCTCAGTGTCAACCAGTCTGGTCGGGCCGCAAGAGTAGAAAGAAGATGATGGTTCCACCTATACAACATCTGTTAGATCACAATTCCATGTGCATTCATTTTCATACATCCAAAGTGCTTACAAGAACCGTACAAGTGTCAGAATTGGGAATTCGAGGCTGCACTTATCAGGACTTGTACTCCACACGGCTGCCGTCATAGGTATCAAATAGTCGTTGCAGAAAGCGTCTGAGTAGCCCTCGCGGTCAAGGTACTCGCCAATGGTTTCCATCCTGCCAACAGAATGCAGTACACTGTCGGTCTCTTTTACCGGTTGCTCATCCTCGGCGTTAATGATGACGTCAAGCGCAAACTGGTTGAATCGTATTATGTCGAATATCATCCGCCACATCTTTAATGAAAATATGTTTCTCTTCTGGCAAAAGATTGTGCCGAGGTTTGTGCCCGCCCACTCAAAAAGTCCCTGATCTCGTGAAACACCAAATGTCATTTCTGTTGGGTCAAGCGGAACATTGAGCTTTTTAAGAAAATTGATGAAATTTGCTGGTGCGTTGAACAAATATGAGCATCCGAGAAACATTGTATTACGGAGGAAACGAAAAGAAGGATATGGGCGTGGCCACTTACGATAGGTCGCACTGTTCAAAACAATGAATCCAGTATCGACTGCTGTCGAATACTTTCCCACTTTCCACTGAACAGTGTTGGTATGACCACCCAGTCGATCGGCAGCTTCATAAAGATAGACATCATGATATGTTCTATTCAGCGCCCACAGTGCAGCTATACCTGTACACCCACTACCAACAATGGCTACCTTCTTCCTGGTCGAGAAGTCAGCGCGGCGATTCATGGTGAACGGCATGTCGTATGTGAAGGAGAGAGACGAGAGACAGTGACGAGGGCTATCTATTCAATTGAAGCCCAGACAGCAAGTGTTTGGCAGCGCAGGGTTGAGACGCAGCAGAGGGTCGCAATCACATGCTCACAACTCAAGACTTGTGTCAAAGGAACCACGGCTCAAGGAAATTGGGGGGGGAGAGAAAGGATTACCCAGGCAATTAAAGAGTTGACCGGCATCCGAATGCAAATCGCAGTTGGAAACGGCTGGCAGAGAGGGGACGGGAACGGGAAGCATGTGGCGTAACTTGCCGCAGCCAGAGCACGGCATGATAGCAGGGCCTGATAGCAGGGCCAAGCCCGATTCGATGACGTTGGGAGCTCTGCTTCAAACATGGACTCGAATGAGACATTCCGGCGGGTGAGGGCTGAACTTACGTGTGTTGTGGCCGTGCCATGGCGGCCAAACCAAAGCAAAATCGCAACGAACCCGGGCGAGAGGGGATAAGGCAAAATAATGATGAATAACAACGATGGATTTGCACACGACGAGGAGGATGCGACCGACTCTGTTGAGACGGAATGGGGATGTGGATTGAATAAGTACTTCCTGACGCAGAGAATGGCCGCTCAGTCGGTCATAGACTCATGGGCATCCGCATGACCTTTGTCGCGGGTCACGCCTGCCGAGTTCAGTATGCTGCATTTGTCTACATGTATGTACAGCGTGCGTGCGCAGTGTCGAGCATCAACCCAATGTTATAGTAGCCGGCGTCCGACATGGAGTGCTCAACTGGCGCAGCCAGCGTTTGTCTGTCTGTCTCAACGTCAACACTCAACGTCGATCCAACCAACCCGACCGACATGGAACCAGAAAGCCCACGTGAACCGCATGCCCACACACCCCCGCGCGCGTTGGCCCACGTTTTGCCCAGACACCAGCGCCCAGCGCCTATTGACCTCAAACCCCAACAAACATGTCTAGTCGTTTCAACAAAGGACAACTGGAGAGCGCTACAGTTTTGGCAAGGCGCGGGCGCGCACCCCCTTCCCTGACAAAGGCCGCCTGGTTGAGCTACAGTCACACACAGCTTCAGGACCTTACGGACGGCGGAGAGGGCATGTCGAGCACTCAACGGGATCGGCCAACGTCGGTACGAGTCGCCAATTCTTGAAAGCGCCGTGCAAGAAAAATATAAATATTATCCTACATCAATCTGCCCGGTTAATACAACTACGTGCCATTGTGACAAAAGTCACGACACTCAGCCTGTTTTCTTCGTCCGGGGAATTTCAACTTTTGTGAAGAGAAAGGAAGAAAAAGTAGAAATCGTTCTGTACTGCAGCGCCAATTAAAGCCGGCCAGCAAGTGCACGGACCATGCCCGATGCGGCGCCTCACGTGAACGGTTGAGCTTTGGGGCTGCATGTGGCATTAACGAGATGCCTGTGACATCGAAGATCGGGGGGTTTCTTGCTTAGCTGACGACGACAAAGACGAATGCGACCGACGACGGCAAACTCTTTTCTTCCAACCACTGGAATCAACACGCATAGTAACTAATAAGCTTTCCCCTATTTGTCGCTTCGGCCCGATACTCCTTTTGCTGTCTGCATTCCGGTCTTTTAGGTTGCCTCTCATACTCGCCTCGCCGTTCAACGCAATTCCGCCAACATGTCTAACCCTCTCGACACCGAGGCTGGCTCTGAGCTGTTCAGCTCCTACGAAGCAGAGCTTAAGCTTGTACAGGCCGATCTTCTACAGAAACTGGATCAAATCCCAGAGTTGTCAGGGGATCCCCGCAAAAATGCAGTGTCTCAAGCCGAGCGAGCTTTGGAGGAAGCAGAGGAGCTTGTTCGTCTGTCCACTGTACCCTGGTGTTTGTTTTTCCTTGACAATCAACAGAATCTAACCGTATCATAGTTGGGATCTATGCGCCTAGAGAAACAAAACATTCCAACATCCTCACGAGCCAAGGTCAATCAACGATTCCGCAACTACGAGCAAGATGTCGACTCCCAGCGCCGGAAGCTGAAGTCCTTCTCTAATGATCACCAAGGATATGCATCACGATACAGAGATGAGCCTGAGGGCTCAGCAGATGCTCATCTTGAGCAACGCCAGCAGTTGCTCTCCGGCACGGACCGTCTCGATCGAAGCACCCAGAGGCTAAAGGCTAGTCAGCAATTGGCGTATGAAACAGAGGCCATCGGAGCTAGCACACTAGCCGACCTGTCATCTCAGCGCGAGAGAATTCAGCAGACGCATGAGACCTTGCTCAATAGTGAAGGCTACGTCGACAGGAGTGTAAAGACGTTGCGGGGGATGGCTCGCAGGTAATGGAGATTTCTTGAGAGCCCTTGCCTGAACGTACAGTGTGCATCAGAGCTAACAGCGAGACTTTTCAGGATGGCTACGAATAAAATAATTACAATTGCCATTATCACTGTTCTCGTGCTTTTGATTATCGCAGTCATCATCAGCAAGTTCAGGTGATTTGTGTTTTAGCAGTTTGGAGTTCGGGTCATGCATATGGCGACGCTGGCTTTGCCTGTTTGTTATTCATGTAATGGTATCCCTTTTTGTTTGTGGAGCCGTAGTGGTTATCCCCGTGGTATTGGCCGCTTTGGAGTGACAGGAGCTAGACTTTGATACGAATACAGCGAGTAGTTGGCCCGTCATTTGACTGCACAAGGATATCATCCACCGTCTCCCATCCAGCTGACACAAAGTCATGTAGTTATGGACAGCCCTGCCCTGTCAAACAGCTTAATGCCAAAGCCTTCGGATGAATACGGCAAGAATTACAATGCTCCAGCCATTTCATCCAATACTCTAACACAAACCCTCCGGCAACAGCAGTTGGTTAGGAGAGCAAAGCAGGAAGCGAGTTAAAGCATATAGGGTAGCTGACTTTACAAAGTGCGAGGTGGCACACTGCTACTCCGTGGCAGATCCTCTGTGTGGGGCTTTGCCGAACAAATCCCGTTGTACAACCGACCACAGGCTGTGCCGGGGAGCTCCCAACCTCTTCGCGAGGCGGAATTCACCACACAAACCTTTCCCTGCACAAACCATCTTCCCTCAACTCCACACGCCTACTGCATCACGTCGTCGCGCGCCTCCCTCTCCAAGCGTCGACTCTCTCTCCCTCTAGCTCTCAGTACACTGTACTGCAGACAATTTACGGCTGTCATCTGCAATTTCTCCTTCCTCCTTCCCCGCAGCTTGCTACGTGCTTAACGTGGCGGTTTTGCAGCCATGTCTGAATTCTTAGGGTACGCCAGAGCAAATTTTGCGTCTTGACCACGTACCTCCTCTGACGGTATCTTAGCTCTCGCATCTCACTGATATCCAAGAGCGACATTCGGTAAGTTCCCAAGCCTATCCATTGGGCTTGTTGCGACGTGACTCGCTGACCGGTACTGCAGCTATGCTGGAACTCTACATGAAATCAACTCGGATGAGTCTACGGTATCCCTCGAAAATGTTCGTTCTTTCGGCACCGAGGGCCGAAGGGGAAGACCCGAGGAGGAGGTTTCCCCGTCTGACCAAGTGTATGAGTACATTGTGTTTCGTGGCAGTGACGTAAAGGATCTGCGAATCGAAGAACATCCTGGTATCAAGGAGACAAAACCTCCCGCCATACCAGATGACCCAGCCATTGTCGGGGTAAGTACAGCACATCGCATTGAGATCCCCTCCTAGTCCATTGTGTGATGAAATATTTGCGGATGTAAACATTTGTCATATCGGAAAGCGCAAAAAACAATGTCGAGATTTCCGTTGCCTTCCTTCTGATCTTGGGACAATTTTTCCTTTACTTTTTATTCAAACCCGTATTTGCCATGAAGCGAAGCTGACCAGCATATTAAGGCTCGAGCTAGAGATGTTCAGCAACCACAACAACCCTCGAATGGAGGGTTCCAACCTCCCTACCCTCCCCAAAACAACTTCTATGGCGGACCGCCACCACCCAACTCTTGGGGTCGCGGTGGCGGTCCTGGCCCTATGCCAGGCCCTGGCTTTGCCGGAGTACCTTACCCTCCGCCTCCGGGATGGTTACCTCCTGGTCAAGGATTCCCGCCAGGTCCAGGACCCTGGAGCAACCCTCAGTTTCCTGGTGGCCCTGGCGGTCCTCCAGGACCAGATGTAGCCCAAAGGGGCCTGCCATCTGGCCCGTCGCAGGATGTCAAATCAGGCACAAGTGCAGATCCAGCGAAAACATCTGGCCCCGTACCGACTGAACCAAAGTCTCTTGCCCAAGGTGGACGACAACCTGCCAATGCACCAAATCCACCGGTAGATTCCAAACCCTCAGCTGAGGAAGTAAAGGCTGTTGCCACGAACCTAAGCAATGGCTCTGCATCCGCCAAGAACAAGGCACATACACGGCCCACACCTGTTGTTCCCCTTACGGGCAATGCTTCGAAACCTTTTCAACTTCCCAATACTGGGAAACCAGCTCCTTCTGCCAGTGCAAGGACTGCCTCAACTGCGGCACCTGCTAGTGTTGAAGATGCCACTAGTGCCGCCCGGGCTGCAGTTGCCGTTGCAATGGCCCAGCTTGGCAATAGTGGAAGTACCGCCATGGACAATCTGACGAGCAAAGTCAACGAGATGAGAGTCCACGCCAACAGGGGAACGTCTAGCAGCCGTGGCCGTGGGCGAGGCGGGCGACAAGGAGCTGCAAAGGTTGAAGTCCCTGACTCTGATTTCGATTTCGCTCAGTCTAATGCGAAGTTCAACAAGGAGGATATTGTCAAGGAGGCTATTGCTAGTGGCGATGTAATCGAATCTCCAAGCGAGACTGTTATCAAAGAACCTGAGACACACCCAGGTAATACTGATCCGTACAACAAGTCAAGATCATTCTTCGACAACATCTCTAGCGAATCTAGAGAGAGAGCCGAAAACGGTGGCCAGAAACCTGGTGGGCGAGAGTGGCGAGGAGAGGAACAGCGCAAAAATATGGAAACTTTCGGCCAGGGTAGCGTTGATGGTGGATACCGCAACTACCGTGGCCGCGGACGAGGCCGTGGAGGCCGTGGCAGAGGAGGATATGGCCGAGGCGGACGTGGTGGTAACCGCCCACAATATCCGGCGACTGTCGCCGACCAGTAAAGACGAAGCAGGACGGCGAGACCTGCCCATGACGATGACTGGGCTATTAATAGCCGCCTTCCATCTATTATCAACGACATGAACATTCTACAACCTTTGGGAAGCATTCTGGACGCTCTATGATCTGAACAAATGCACATATTCTCTTGTGTCTCATTCGTGCCTTGATTCTTTCTTTCTTTTCATCATCCGGGTCTGTAATAGTGTAACAACATATTTGGGATCTTTCTAAGGCGCACCGTGGCTCAAGCGACTAGGTGCAGGGTGCGCATGTCTTTTTAGGCGGCAGTGGGACATGGAAAAAATGATGTTCTTCATGGAAGATCAAACAAGCAATGGGAGTTTGGATTTGGATTTACGCAAGGGATGAGGGGGCAGGTTAACGTGAAACATGACGCACGCTGCATGGCTGGAAAGACGATTACTTCCTTTTAGTTTTTGATACTCTTCACAAAGCGGGATTGCAGGCTGACATCTTCAATGACGTCAAAGCCAAAAGTGTAAACCAATGGTCCGTGACCTCTAAATTTGGAAAATGCGCTTGATTCAAAATAGTGCTGGGCTTCTCACAACTGGAAGGATTGGCCACTATCAGAGAATATGACTATCGAGCTCAAGTTGTGAATCCAGAAGCATGTGCATGTGAATGTGATTATCCTGGACAAAGATTAGACTCTTAGCATGACCTCGCCATGCGTCGGACATGCTGGTAATGATTAGATGTACAAAAGATGAAATGGTATGAGTTGTTGCAGCCGTGGCCCTGGGGCACTTTGTGGGTGAACAAAGGCAAACATCGAAGGAGCCCGTACAATTCAGGATCGTTATTTGGTTGCGTCTTCTTTTTGAAGGCGGCAGGAGTTGGTGTGTGGTGGACAGAAACCCCACCAGACAAGCTCGGCGTGACACAAAACTGCTCCGAAGTGCCACATCAAGGTGATTAAGCATGATTGGGTTGAACATGGCCAACTTGCTTGCCCTTCGACGCACTTCCGCTTCTATTGTCGCCCATCCGTCAAACTTGTGTGTGAATGCAGCCAGTCTATCGGCATTGGATCTATCTTGCGTCTGATATCTGGCCGCAGTCATCGAATTTGCAACTACGACCCGAGCAACAGGCAGGCTGCACTGCGCCATGTCGAGTAGACAGCTACGCAAGCTCCAGCAGCAAAAAGAGCTGGAGAGAGCTCAACTAAATACCCAAGAGGACCCCGAGGGGGGCGAATATGTCGAAGAGCCTGCCAAAGCGGCGCCCAGGCCACGCCCGAACCTGTTCGCAGCCTTGGGAGGCGAGGATAACGACGAAGAGGAGGAGAAGGAGGAGGACAACGGCGTGCCGTTAATGGAACCGCCAGAATTGCCTACAGCCGAACCAGCTCCTAGCGACCCGAAAAAGAGCAGGAAGAGAAAGAAGAAGAGTAAAAAGGCCAAGACTGCCGCTACGACCCAGGCAGCTCATGAAAACGCCAAGGAGGACGAGGACGAGGACGAGATTGACAAGGCCATCAAGGAGCTCAAACTTGGCGATTCGAAGATGAATTCTGGTTTCGGGAAAGATAAGCCAGACAGCGAAGCGATAGGGCCACGGAAGCGAATGAATGAGCTGCTATCCATCAACCCGTACCACCTGAAAGCCATCAACGAAATGCGCAACCTATTCGGCCGCGAGGTCATCGAGTCCGCCAACGCAGAGGAGCAGCAAGAGCAGCAGAACCGCAGAAGGCGGCAGCATGTGTCCCGACAAGTTGATCTGGAGACGTATCTGCGAGAACCGCCTGGCGCCAAGAAGCTGCCTGAAGTATCGCTACGACGGAATATATTTGTGCAGGGCAAGGATCACTGGCCACGCCAGTCGGCGGGCGGTTTGACCATGAAGGAGATTGGCAAGTCGGACGATGGATTGTCGACTGAATACGCGTATCTTCACGATGACAATTATGATTCCGTGCAACGGGTTTTCTGGGCCTTGGTGCAAGTCGGAGATCCAATGCGCATGGTGCATTTGCTCAAGGAAGCTCGTAAGTACAAATCTTTGATGGCATATTTCTTTATTTCCATACTATTATTTATTTATTTCTTCCCCTGAAGTTTTCACCATTGGAGAGGAAAACAAAGCTAATATGAGTGGATTTCTTGTGCAGCATATCATGTTTCAACACTACTCCAAGTCAGCAGTGTAGCAAAGCAGGACCAAAATATGGCGTTGGCGGCGGAACTTTGCGAACGAGCGCTATTCACCTTTGGGAGAGTAACCACATCTGCATTTCGCCAAGATATCGAGCACGGCCGTGCTCGTTTTGACTTTAAACGCCCGGAGAATCGCCAGTTCTGGCTTGCCGGGTTTCACTACCTGCGCAGCTTGATACGAAAAGGCACTTTTCGGACGGCTCTTGAATGGGCCAAGCTGCTGTATTCTTTGGATCCTGTGGATCCATACGCAATGAGACACTATATTCACTTGCTGGCTCTGCGAGCCCACGAGTCAAGGTGGTTGATTGACTTCACCAAGCAAATGGAGCTTGTTGCAGATCACCCAGACATTGTCTATCTGCGACAAAGCCTCGTGCTCGCCAAGCTCCAGATCAACGACGGACGCGGGGCTCGGCAAATTCTCCAACATGGGATTAAGACGGTGCCCTGGCTGTATTGCGCCTTGTTCCAGGAGCTAAATCTCGATGCACCGCCTTCCATATGGGGCATCAGCGCAGACTCGGATTCCCGAAAGTTCTGGGTGAAATTGTACATTCACCAGACCAGGGATCTGTGGAACAATGCCCAGGCCACGGCGTTGTTGCAACAAGTAGCCAAGGATCTGGAAAAGGTGGACGTGGCGTCTCTTCCTTTGCAAGACCCGGTCGTCGATCGCGGCGTGACGAGATTAGCCTACCTCGAGGGTCAAACGGCACTGCTTGCCGTGGCGCCGCGGGATCTGTTGGATGCACAGCCAAATTACGAATTTGATCCCTTGCCGCCACTGCTGGAGCAGAATGTTTTCACGGCGCAAAGTGCACGACTACCTTGGGGACAGGCTGGGGGCAGTCACGACGAGGAGGATGAGCACGGGGGCCACGGCCGTGTTGCAGATCTAGTGGCTCGCATGCAAAATCAGCTGGCTCAGCGAGGCGTGGCGCCAGGGGGAGGAATGATGGGCATGATGAACAATGCCGTGGAAGAGGACGATGACGATGCCGATGACGATGACGATGAAATCAGGGCGCTGAGAGAGGCAGATGATGAAGAGTTGATGAGGGACATGGAGGCCTACGTGAGTTGGGGTAGAGAGCAGGGCATTCTGGGCCCATTGATGCAGATGCTGGGCCACCTGGGCGTTGGTCGACGGGCTAATGACGAGGGAGACGATGATGAAGAGGATGCGCGATAGGAGGAGACAGGCACGAAGCGGCTGTTGAAAAGGCACTTGTTGTGTATGCTAGGAGTTGCAATAGTGGTATGATTCCAACTTTGGGCTTGGGATCATCACGGCGTCTGCAGGATGAAACAAGACCCGAATTGAAGGCCAGAGAAGGGTCTCTACGGAGTACGACGACAAGATCTACCGGGCATATCGCAACATGCCAGGGCCCACAATCATGCAGTAACCCCAAGACAGCAGAGGAGCGTTGCACTACAACAGTTGCACTCGTGGAACGAAACATGTTCAGGTTAGATCCCGATGCCTAGCCAACAAGCACATCCCTGGCATTTAACATTGCGCCGTGCGAAAACATGGGTTCGGATTCTCGCCGATGCCTGAGCGGATCCCCCACAACCCGCACTAAAAATGCCTGAACAAAAAGGAAAGAAAAAAAAGCTAAAACCCATGGCCATGCGCTGCTCCCAGCTTCCGGACAAAGAAAACATGACACACATGATTGTACATATGTACAGCTGGTTTGGTGGGGGAAAAGACAACACACAGACAAGGGCACGAGACTGGTCTAGAAGATGCATATCCCGGATGACGGCGGGGGCAAGTGTAGTACTACCATCTGATAATATTACCCTGTACTCCGTACTCCCTACCCAAGGTGGCATTCCTTCCCTCTCTTCCGTGTCTGCCCTCGGCAAAAAGGGTATTTCCGGGCAAATTAGGCGACGGAGAGTCCGAATGCCTCCATTCGAACATGGGAGAAAACATGGATATATGATTCGTGCGGCAGAGACTGGCGTCCTGTTCCGAGACATTGTGGGCTAATTTTTTCTAAGAAAAAAAAAGCGCAAAACGCCATTCTTTTTCCTCACAGAATCGAGGGGCTCAGAGCCAATCCGTAATAAGCGGTTGATTAGACATTCTCGGCTAATATGCGACTGGCTGACAGGAGGCTGTCTAAGTATAGCAACCGAGAATGAAGGAAAATGAGGAACAGCAAAACGGCTTCATGCAGATCAGGATAAAGATGTACATATGTACGTATGTATGTATTCTGACGGGGTTGGCATCGGCAGTGGACTGGGGCTGTCGTGATGGGAGGCGTACAGGGTATTTCTGACAACTTTCGTCATTCGCTGCACGTACATAGGAGGAGCGATTTGGAACATCCAGTCGGCAATGACATCGACTTTCCCAAGCTCCATTCGCCGTGGGGCATATCTACTAGTTCCATGGCCTCGCCAAGGTCTGGTCGTTCTTATGCCACTGGCCTGGCCATCGGAATCTGCTCCATCAATCAGGTCGCACTGGCTGCCAACTTGAGTAGAGCAATTGGCTATCCCACAGATGCCTGACGTTCGATGCTACTGCTCCAACACGAATGCACTCGGCTTCGGGTCAGTGTCGGTCGAGGTAGTACCAGCTCGGAGTCAAATTTGGCAGCACGGGCGCACGGGCTGCAGCAACATGCGCGTTTACAACACCTGCATTGCCCAACCATGCGACCGGTACAAACATCTGTCATTTTGGCTCGTGTCTGTGTAAGCGTTACCTGTACTCCGTAGGTGGCCACACAAACGGCCATCATGCATATGGAGACATGGATTTCACCTCGTTCATTTACGGCCGAGTCGGACGAGACTGGTGGCGGGGCGGAAGCTTCTGACACAACCAGCAGCGCTAACACAGTCTTGTGTGGTGGTGTTGACGGAGCTGGCTGTTGTTACACGGTATCCCTGAACTTGTTGCATCGAGGGACGGAGGACGGTGCCGGTAGCTTGGAGAGGGCAATGACGGACGAGCTCATGTATGACATATAGTCCATGTTCTTTGTGGAATAGACGCAACCACGGCCAACTACACGCAGCCAGTCAATAGTGCCGACCATTCGTTGTTTTGCGGTTCGCCGAAGGCCCCTGTGGTGAAATCTTCCATGCAGATCGAATTGTTTCCACTTTCCGCCATTCAATCCGTCGTACGGAGTACAAGGACGAGAGCGAGTGGCAGGAAGGACATGCCAGGACAGTGCCTGAGAAGACACATCAATGTCTAGTTGTCCCCTCTTGACCCCACAAGTAGCGACTGGTCATTTTCCGACACCGAGGCTCGAGACAGAATGTCCAAGGACAGCTGAGTGCACTTGTACGGAGTCGTAGCACTACTATGTATGTATAATAGTTGTGATATATGCCGTGTCTCAAGGTCCGCGTCCTGGGGTCGAGCTCCAGCGGGGTCGATACAGCAATGAGTCGTGCTTCAAGACCTCCAGGTCACCACCACCCGCCGAGCCTGATTCCACAACACACCATGGCGATTGCTCGTTTACGGGAACTCCCGCATTTTTCGAAACAACCACCTTGGTGACGGCTTCTTTAAGCGGCTACAACATTACTCCGGTGGTAGTGAGGATTTGAAGTGGTGACATCCATGCCCAAATCCAGAAAGCGATCTACCGAGTGCCGAGTTTGAAACGCATAAATGGATGTGCTATGGTAGACTCCTCACGTCGACTTGGTGGTAACATCGCTTGCTATGCCCTTGTTAGGCGGTAATCAGTTCATGTAAGCTTCTGGTGTGGCCCTGTAATAAGAAGGCATGACAGGGAATACGTGCCCTTGGATGGGCGGAAAACTTCGCATCACTGGCGGAAAGCTTGTTTTGTTATCGGTGGTCCGCGGTACATATGCACACCTTCGCATCTGGGAGGTCAGTGTCTCCACGACTCTTAAACGTCTTGGGCTGCGCCCTGACGGGCCAGGTCATGTTGTTATGTAGGCCTCTTCGGGTACGATTTCACAAAGAATGCCAGAAACAAGACGCGCGTCGTGCTGTTTTGCCGACCAGGATACCGAGTAGTGCTCCGGACACATCGACCGCTTCCAACGGCGATTCGAAGAACGAGCCTGCCATGAAGACGAAAACAAATAGATCAGAAGTATGTACTCCGTACTCCGTACCATGTGGCTCGGGTCCCCTTGGCCGCCTGGCAGCTCCTTCACATCCATCCCATGCAGAATCCCTGGACACCCTGGGGGCCATGCGGCGGCGGGGTTTCCCTGCCCAAAGCTGTCCAATCTAGTGGCTGCACCAGGGTTGTGATGGGGAGCTTGGCGTAAGGGGGAGGACAATGGGTTCAGACCTGATCACGATACACCGTGAACGAGTTGTACCGACGGACGGGCACGGGGAACAGCAAGGCGTAGCCTGCCAGGGTTTGACCATTGAATGTCTGCGGAAGATGACCCATCACTGCCACCCTTGCCCCAAGCGCGCGAGAGCCGACCGACTGCCTGCTCGCCTTGGCCCGGTTGACTGGCTTCCATGGCTTCCAGGTACTTTTGATAATCCGACAAATGGAGCGGCAGGGTCAGTCTGAACACTGGAGTATACTTGTGGATATACGGAATACAGCTGAGGCAATAGCGGTGGGCAAATATGTAGTACTTTTTGCCTTCCCCTGCACTTCATAAAGGCGCTTGAGGCACCTTTGGAATCCAACACGTCGTATTCCAAACAAGTATGTGGCTGGCCTGTGATGCAAGTTTCGCAATGATCAGAGAAGATATGGATTTTGCCACACTCCTGCAAGTGTCTCTCACCACTGACCTAACTCCGCGGTTAGTGGCTTTCTGCTGCATCTTCAAACAGGGGTGAACCCCCGACCGATTCGGCCGAGGCGCTGGTTGTGCAGTCCTGGGGCCCAGTACTCCGTAGTAGCAATACTAATAGTACCACTGCCCATTTGAGGTCAACTCAGTGCCATGACAAGACGATGCGATACGCTTTTGAAAGAGTGCCATCATGGCCGCAGGTCCGCCAATTTGCACACCCTCTTCAGTTGGAAAGAAGCACCAATGGTCCCTTGGCTGCATGAGCTGGAAATATGACACCATGTGTAGTTCGGTTTGGAATGGCGCTTGAAATGCAGCTTGGGAACACCAAAAACTCAGCTCATCATCAGCGTTGGCTAGCAGTGGCGTGTCTGAGGTCGGTTCAGTAACTTACTTGGCTGTTGGTAGTCCCTTGCACACCGTCGACGTATTGAATCATTTGCCCCTCTTTCTTTCCTTGTCTCCCTCTCTCTCTCTCTCTCCTCTCTCTCTATGTGTGTGTGTGTGTGTGCACGGCCCATATCTGAAATGGAAGTCTCCGTTCTGATCCACGCAACCTCTCCCCTGAGGGTAGCAGTTGTCCATAAGGAACCACTTGGGCAGTGGAAACTTGAAACTATGTTATGGTCTCCCATCGCGTCATTTATCAACCCAAACTGAAATGCGCAGGTCGTAAATGTCAGTTGCGTGACAGGTGGCACAATAGCCATAATTGCGCTTCGTAGCGATGCGCAAACCCGTTCTGTGATTTGGCGGGGTCTCGATATAATTTAGGACTTTTTGTCCCAGCAAATTCGGCCATTGCCTACGGTACACCATTCACCTCTTTCTGCTCTTAGCTATGAGGTAGTTAGGGACGGTCTTGACCACCCGGTGCCAGAGAGTGACTCAAGGGGGCGCAGATACTTATTGCATCCCGCTGTACGGAGTACCAGCTATGTGATGGCCTCGAGGCTACTGTTTGTAGGGTGTCAGTAGTGTCCATACCGAACAAGAAACGAGTGCGATACGTCCCTGGGTGCCTAATTACTAACATCTCCTGGAACTCCAGTCGACGCCTCCCCAAAAAACAAGGCCGGCTCCCCGTTTTCCAATCTCCATTCTCTCGGCCGTTCATCACCAGTTGGTACCCACACGCCGCCCACCAGGTTAGGCCACCCCGAGAGGAGTGGAGAGAGACAGGAGGAAGCTGGGACAAAACGAAAAGCCCTCCGATAATATTTCTCCGTAATCCGTATAATTGTGCAGACTAGCCCAAAGACCGGAGAAGGGTACCCAAGGTTAATGAAGTGGATAGCACGGAGCAATGCGACGCAGGGCGGACATGGCCTGGCTTGCCTGATGTGATGTGAGGGACATTGGTTTGTGTGCGTGACTTTTGTCATCATGATGTACCCGCGCTTTGCCCCTGTATTTTGGACCAGACCGGACCAGACTTGGGCAAGTGCACACCAGAGCAGCAGAGCAGCCAGCTGCCATTACTACTACCAGTTTGCCAGTCACATACGGAGTACCCAGGTATCTACATGTATGGCCCGGTGTACTATGCGCCGCGCCTGCCTTGCTTCCTCAGTGACCCCGTCAGCTCGTGCATCGACTCCAGTATCGTACGCACTCGGTTCAACGGGACTCCCTCGTCCCTCCTCTCCTCACCTTGACCCATTCCCAAAAGCCACATTTATCAAAGCCCACTTTTCACTTTCCCTGCTTGGGAATTGCTTCCGACAACCTGCAGCTGCAGCCTGATGGCCGGCTTTGTTCTGCGATCCTTGTCCACCCTAGCCCTTAACTAATACTACTACGTATCCTCTTCCCCCCATCTTCATACATACATACATACATACATACATACATACTGTCGAGCTTCCAGACGCATGTTGGCTGCCGTCTGTTGTGCGAGGACTCCGTGCGTGCATCGCCATATCGGCCGCTTTCTCTCTCTCGGCCGACAAGACTTGGTGCGTTGGCCGGAGCCTTGCACAAAGTTTCAACGTTGTGCTTGTTTCCTCCGTCCTAGCGCGGGCCGCCTCAAACATTGTAGCTGATCCCTACTCGGCACAACAATTGCGCCCAATTGAACCTGGTCCGGCTGTGCCCACCGGAGGTGTGGCCACCCTGATCTGCACAGACTTGGCGAGCCCCCAAGCCTCCTCAGCGCTTGCCAGTTTCCTGTGCTGCGCTTCGATCTCTTCTCATTCTACTACGTACTACGAACACATGTTTGACGTCTGTTCCTCGAGCATGGCATGATTCCACGAGCATCTCAAATCCAGCGGAGCAAAACGCTTGGCCCAGTGACTTGACGAGGCTTTGGACCAAACAACAACACCCCGCGAGCAGACCCCAGTGCTTTTGTCACGCATCGTGGGGGACTCGCCCTGCATCGCTCCTTGGTTTTGACTGGCTACTCTGCGGCTCTGTTCTAGCTTTTCTCCTTCATCTTTCGTCTTGCTTGCATACCGAATTGCAGAACCTGCCCGGATGACAATGACCCGCGTCTTGCCCCCACGACTGCAATATCCGACACCTGCAAATTGACCTCATCCCACCCTCCGACTCCGAATACGACCCATCCTCGATTTTCGGATGATAGCGGCATTTGTCATCTAAAAGCGCAAAGCATTTCCACTACAATGCATTCATTCCCGACACCGGCGGATGGTGCTGGAGCAGCCTCTATACTTCATCAACCGCCGTCGGTGGGCTCTAATACCAGCTCGTTTGACAACACTTCAACACAAGTACTGCGAACACCGCCGCAGCAGCATATTGTTCACACTCCTCCCCAGGGAATCAATGCCCAGCCACTAGGAATATCACAACAGCAGCAGCAGCAACAGCAGCAACAACAACAATCACAACAGCAAAGGAGTGTAAAGCGACCAAGGCCAGTCAAGTCTTGTACCGAATGCCGAAAACGTAAATTGCGATGCGACCGACTTCTACCCTGCTCCCAGTGCCAAAAATCCAGTCGCATCTGTAAATATGCGGCCGACCACGACCCGGCTAACTTGTCAGACGGCTCTGACACTGAACCCGTGGATACGAATCGCCCTAATAAACGAAGCTGCCCTCCCGGTACAACCAATTCGAACAACGCTTCAAACAATGAAATCGCGACAACGCCTGTCAAGAATGGCGGATCGCCCGGCATGCCGATGCTTGAGGAATTGACTTTGCGGATGGACCGGCTAGAGAGGCATATGCAAGGCCGTAGTCCTGCACTAACAGACACCAGCGGCGGCAGGATTTTGTATGCGGCCACCGACACTGTCAGGGGACTGACAGTCAAACGTGGTGGTACAGCGACTCGATTCTTTGGCCAACACAACCCACGGGTTATGCTTAATGTGGTAGGTGGCCCTTTGTGCTATCATTCCCCTGCAGACATGTTGCGTGGTTGACGTGCAGTCCAAATTACTAACTTTTGCTTCCTTCTCACATTAGTTTCCTGAGGCACGAGCGTACTTAATGGGGCACCATCAAAGTCATGCTTCGGATAACCTATTGAGGAGCTTTGGCTTGTTACATAAACATCGGCAAGATGAGCTACACCTCGCTTTGAAACCAATCACGGTATTTGTCGATTCCATGATGCCGGTGCAGAAGCGTATGACAGATATCCTCCCCAAAAAGGATATATGCGACCAACTTGTCACCGTGTATTTCGATACCTCAGAGTCGATTTACCGAATTCTCCATACGAGAGCTTTTTACGATGCATACAACGCGTATTGGGATGGTAAAATGCAGTCTGAGTTCTTCTTGCCACAACTGCTTTGCGTTTTATCCGTTGCCTCTCGGTTTGAGACAAAGTCGAGAGGAATGGGCCACGAACGCAGTGAGGGAGTTCATATTCCAACTGCATGTGCTCTGGTACAAAGCTGGCTTGATAGTCTCAAAGGAAAGCAGCTCGTCGACATCAATACTGTCCAAGTGCAAATTCTACTGATACATGCATCAAGAATGATCACGCCTCGACTACAAGACTCGTGGAACAAGCTTGGGTATGTCTTACGGCTTGCGATGAGCATGGGCATGCATCGAGATCCTTCTGAGAGCGACCAGCGCATCCCAGTCTTCTGGGGAGAGATACGGCGGAGGCTGTGGTTTACCTTGGCAGACATGGACCTGCATATGTCGATCGCCTGCAATATGCCTTCCCTGCTTCGTGATGGGGACTTCACCTGCAAGCCGCCCCGAAATCTCGACGACTCTGAATTGTTTCCAGGAATGCAAGAACTCCCTGCTATGCGACCGATTGACCAGGTGACCGATAATCAAATGCAGGTATATGCCGCTATAACACTGGCGGTTCGCATGAGAGTGGCGCCTCTTGTTAATCGGATTGATTCCATCCGCGACTATTCAGAAGTTTTGGACATCGGAACCAAGTTGGAGCGTTTTCTTGATGACATCAATCATATATATCCACGACAAGGATCCTATAGCGCCGCGCAGAAAAGCAAGCAATGGAGAAGCCGCGTGATTCTCGATATGCATGTGAGACGGCCGCTTCTAGCGCTCTACCGTCCTCTGGCACTTGGCGCTGCAGATGTCCCAGCAGAAATATCACGATCATTTTTGAAGTCGTCGATGGTGATATTGAAATACCTTGATGAGTTGGATCCAATACAACCCCAATTTCATGTCGTGGCAGAGATGTATCATCAAATTCTAAAGCCAGATATCATCTACTGTTCACTGAGCGTCTGTTACTATATCCAGTCCGCTGTCCGCCAGAATTCGGATTCGCTAGTGTTTAACCAACATAGCGGCGCATGCCTGTCAGGTGGTCATGGAGAAGACCTTTCACTTGCGTCTGCAGAAACTGTGGTGCCCTGGTCCCCTGCACGCCTGGTTTCCACAGTGCAGGAGAGTCTGGAGCTACTCATCAAGTATATGGGTGGAGGTGATACCAAGGATATATTATGTCTGGCCACGATATTAGAGACAGTCAAAACTGCCGAGCCCAGTGTTCAAGAGGTGACACGGAACCTGTATGCTGTGTTAGACAGTTGCCTAAGATCGTCAAACATATCACAGGAAAAGTTTCGGGCTTTTTCTAGTGATCAATACGGCACCGATTCATACATGCACGGCCAAATGACCTACGGATACGCCAACAGTGTGGGCTCGGGAGGGTCGGCTAACAATGCTGCGAGCTGGATTTTATGGGACGGATGGGAATGATGCGAGAGCATTTTGGCGTTTTAGATGAGAGAATCTCGCGGAGCGAATTTGATGAGCTTACGGCGTTTTGCGACTTGTTGTGCTGGTATATGCACAATTTTCGGTAGCACTGGGATTTACCTTGTTTAGGGGGGTGGCATGATTTTTACTTTTGAGATCTGGGACAATGAGTGTAGCCATTCATGCATTGTTATTCTGGTTATGATGCGGAGATTGGCCATATCCAATCTGATATATGGGTAGGAGTGAGAGATGTTTTGGAACGTGGTTGCATGGCGTACCATGGCGCTGGTGTGTTCAAAACACTTGTTGGGTGAGGAAGTAAACGAGCAGCAGCTCGGAGCGGGAAGCCATCAGAGCTTATATTAGGCGACACGATAAATCTATGCCAGAAGTCACTCGTATGACTGGAAAGCATATTCTTTGTCACCTGATAATATCTAACCGTGGCTGATCTTGTGGTGCATGTTCTCTGCCTGTTCTTGCAGTCCTTACGGCAAATGCTGACCGCCTCGCCGCGCGGGCCAACGCAAACGGCAGTCCGCTCTGTGGTACAACCCGGCCGACATGCAAGTTGCGTTCGGAGCCGTACATAATCTCGGCCGTGTTGCAGGACATGACGGCGCCGGATGTGGGGCGCCTCCGAGGGCGTTGATGCAAGTGATGCGCAAGAAGCGAGGGGAGGGTCCAATGCTGTCTATTAACAGCTCTCTATTTTTTTTTAAAGGAAGAACTATAATATGACTCGATTTAATACAGATATGCGATTATGCTGACAAGCTTTTCGGCCTTGGTGTAGTGGTTGTTGGTCTCATGGGATGGCAGGCGGCAGCACCACCGAGAGCGTTTGTCCGAGGGTCCGGCGGTACTGTGGTGCTGGTGGTGGGATGGGTGAGAAGGGCAGCTGACTCAGCTGGGTGCTCGGTTACTACGGGAGTGGCCAGAGCCTCCCCCGCCTTTGGGGCTCCAAGCCTCGGCTACCGCGGGAGGGATGAGGCAAGAACCAAGTCCGTTTAGTGTCTGGTGTGTCAGGAGTTGGACCTTGGACCTTGAATCGCAGAGCGGGAGAACGCCCCAGGCTCAGGTGGAGCGTAGGCGTTCTTGTCGCCGCACAATTGACCTCGGCACTTGCCCTTCCCACTGACTGCTGTTGCAGGCGAATGAATGACTACGGAGTCTCAGTTTGGCCCGCAGCGTCTGCTGGAGGCCAAGTTAGGCAATCATAGCGGACGCTCCTACCCAGGTTGATCCAGCTGTCGGCTCCCCGCATTCAATGCCCGAATTCCGCGCCAGGGGGGGCCTCCAGAGTCCAGACATGCCCCTTCCACATGCAAAGCCGTGACATCCATCACCCGCCGCATTTTTGATAAATAGAAACCTCATCCGTCAGTGGCATCACTGTAGTTTTTTATGCAATAATTTACTTTTTTCTGGCTTCAGCTTCAGCAACGTTGCATTTTACTCTTCCTTCTTTAATCCATCATAACGTCAATCGTCGTCCAAGGGATCTCTCCCTAACTTGCCATCGTCGCCGACACTCCGAGAACTCGCCTTCTTTGGACAAATACACATACCCACAACACAGACACCACAACCACTCGTCAAAATGCCTGCCAAGCAAAAGTCGCCTGTCTACGTCCTGGGCGTGGGCATGACCAAGTTCATCAAGCCCCGAGGCCTGGTGGACTACACTGAGCTCGGATTCGAAGCTGGTATAAAGGCTCTCCTCGACGCTCAGATTAACTACGACGATGTCGACCAAGGCGTCGCCTGCTACTGCTACGGCGACAGCACCTGCGGTCAGCGTGTCTTTTACCAATTTGGCATGACCAAGATTCCCGTCTACAACGTCAACAACAACTGCTCCACTGGCAGCACTGGACTGGCCATGGCCCGTACCTTCATCGCGAGCGGTGCTGCCAACTGCGTCATGGTTGTGGGCTTCGAGAAGATGATGGCTGGTAGCTTGCAGAGCTTCTGGAACGACCGCGAGAACCCCATCGGCACCACTGTCAACATGATGGTTGAAACCCGGGGATTCGAACCCGCCCCCGGCGCGGCTCAGATGTTCGGCAACGCTGGCCGCGAATACATAGAGAAGTATGGTGCCAAGCCCGAGGACTTTGCTGAGATTGCTCGTGTCAACCACGCCCACTCTCCCAAGAATCCCTACTCGCAGTTCCAGCAGGTCTATACCCTCGACCAGATTATGCAGGCACCCAAGATCTTCGACCCTCTCACCAAGCTTCAGTGCTGCCCTACCTCCGATGGAGGCGCTGCTGCCATCCTCGTCTCCCAGGAGTTCCTTGATGCCCGCCCTCACCTCAAGGCTCAGGCCGTCGAGGTTGCTGGGCAGTGCCTGGCCACTGATGCTCCCAGCCTGTTTTCCCGCAGCTCCATTGACCTGATGGGCTATGAGATGACCCAGCACGCTGTAAAGACAGCCATGGGCGAGGCCGGCATCACCCCCAAAGACGTGCAGGTTGTCGAGCTGCACGACTGCTTCAGTGCCAACGAGATGGTTGTCATTGATGCCCTCGGTCTTAGTGAGAAGGGCAAGGCCCACGAGCTCGTCCGCCGCGGCGACATCACCTACGGCGGCAAGTACGTCATCAACCCCTCTGGCGGTCTCATCTCCAAGGGCCACCCTCTGGGCGCCACGGGTATTGCGCAGTGTGCCGAGCTTGTCTGGCATCTGCGTGGATGGGCCAACAACCGCGCAGCTCCCAACACCACGTACTGCCTGCAGCACAACCTGGGCCTCGGTGGTGCCGTTGTCGTGACCGTCTATCGCCGTGCGGATGGCAAGGCTGCTCCCGAGCTGGACAATGCAGCCGTTGGCAAGTCCAACGGCCTCGGCTACAACCCGGCAGTCGAAGCCAAGGGCTTCACCAAGGACCAGGCTGCCGCTGTTCGTAGCAAGACTGCCTCTAGCGACTGGGCCCTGTCGGACACTCAGGAGAAGGTTCTCCAGGCTCAGCTGTAAGGGAAAAAAAAACTAGCATATGTTGGAAATGGATGATACTTGAGAATCAAAATGGGAGATATGGGATATGCATGTGGAATTTCATTTGTTTTATGAATTGTACCAATAGCAATTTCTTCATCACTGATGAGTTGAGTATAATGATGGCATTGATTTTTGGCGTGCTGGACGGGAAGTCAACAGCCAAAGTTTATGCCGTCGTTTGAGAATATAGCGTTGAACTTTGGTATCATAATCTACGTCTTGACTAAGTTGCCCTGGTGAAGAGTGATGCGGAGCTTGCGCGTGTTGCCATACCGTTTGCGCATACTGAGGTAATACTCATTGCCCGTGGTTTAGGTACCTAAGTACTTAAGTAGTAGTAGTAGTGACGATGGTCAGAGACAGACGACAAAAAGTGGGTGTGGCGTCCGGTATTTTTTATCCTTGCCGCTGGTGGAAACTCTAATCCCACAGCTTAGATACCAGCTTTCCATGCGGCATCTGCATCCTTTTCCCTCTTCATCATCCCTCATCACCATTCTACAAGTGACGAGAATTTCATTCTTCACCTACTAGCATTGCCACAGTCGCATTGATTGCGGGGGGCGCGGGCAATTGTCGCCTAAGTAGCATTTGGCCGAACTTTCGCAGTACGCGTCACGAGGGGCACTTCTTCGCTTAACGCGTCTCTCTCTCATGGCGGCCACGACCTTCCACCGGTTCGCGCGCCTTCCCGCCGAGCTTCGGCGCCAGATATACGTCGAGCACTTGAGTCCTCTGGACGCGCCCGCCGTGTATCTGTACAACAAGAACCTTGTCCTGCGCTACCTCGACCCCGATAGCGAGGATGAGCGGTACGCGGGGATATCTCACGAGCCACGCGTGCAGGTCAAGACGCCGGCGCTGGTCCACGTCAACGTGGAGGCTCGCGCGGTGACCATGTCGTGGGCGCGCACGCACGACATCTCCCTTGGTTTCCGCAGGGAAACAAAGGGCCACGTGTTTTCCCGGCCTTGGGATCCGACGCGTGACACGCTCTACGTTTCCAGGGACAAGTGGGAGGAGTTTTGCGAGCTGCCGTGGGAGTCGAAGGGCGTTGAGGAGATGTCGGCCAAGGTGCGACACCTGGCCCTTCCTGCGTTCACGGCGTACTACAGCTTCAACGAGCTGGGGAATTACGTGATGCAGTGGTTTCCGAGCCTCGAGGTGCTGAGCTCAGTATGGGGGCCCTTGCCTGAACTCAAGTACTCGCGGACCAAGAGGGTTTCGAGGAGGCAGCTGCTGGCGGCGGGGGCGACGGACGACGACGGCACGGATACGGGCGTTGATCCTCTGACGGGGGATAGGGAGGAGCGGATTGCGGCCGAGATCCAGCCTATGTGGGAGCTGGTGAGGGAGACCAAGGACGTGGTGAGGATGTGTGTGCTGGATCCTTTGGACGAGACGGAGAGCTGGGAGGAGGGCGAACTGCAGATGTGGATGGAGGAGCTGGCGGACGCCTTGTTGACGACTGAGCTGCCAGAAAATGTGTATGATGTGGAGGGGCAGAAGTATTCGATTGAGTTTCGTCCGGTGAGGGCTGTGAAAGGGTAGTTTGGACTGGGATGCGAGGCGGGCGGCATGGCCGTTTGTTTGTTTCATGTATTGTACTCCGTACTTGGTGGTTATACGTACGTGGGCATGCAAAGGCTGGGCCAAAGCGAGTGGTGGCCTGGTTGGTTGTTGGGACTTTGGCGCAGGGTGGTTTTGTGTGTGCCGACCGACGTGAGCAAGTTTGAGCTCATATCCAAGACAGCAGCAGCAGCAGCAGCGTCACAGGGGGGATGCTGCCCATGGGCAGAAACAGACGGATGGATATTCATTTACCTGTTTCAGGCCTCGGGCGCCATCGGGAGCAATGACCTTGAAGGCGATATGTTATGCGCGGCGGGCGTCAGCATGATGGGCCTGCGATGGTACTCGGCCCGTTCCGGTCGATCTGGGCGCATGATGCAGGATGGCATTCGCATGGACGTGACAATGGTTGTCAAGGTGAAACGAAGCTGTTTTGAGAAGCATCCCAGACCGGGTGTTGAGACGGAAATATATCCGACGCTGTCACGGAGCAAGTGAGCACGTTTCAAGAAGGTGCACATGTGTGTGATATGTATGATACATATTAGCGTGAGGTTGCGTGCTGCCTTCTGTCTCGTTCCATCTGGTGCCCGCGGTGCCTTGCTGTGGCTGCACGTGGCTGCGTCCTTTTCGCGGGGCCCATACTTTGGCCTCGTCCAGAAACGTCTGGTCCATTATTATTAATGCCATGCTCCCGCCGCCGTTCGCTCCATGACATGTCCTTCTCTGCATGTATTAAAAACGCCCGTGATCCTGCCCTTCTCTGGACGACAACCGGCCGACGAAATTTCCCCTTTCCCGCAAACTTGCACGCCCTCTGTCATACGTACCCTTCTTGTCCGCGCATCTCCCACCGGCCATCATGTCCAACCTACACACCTACGAGTTCAACGTCGCCATGAGCTGCGGCGGCTGCTCCGGAGCTATTGACCGTGTTCTGAAGAAGCTGGATGGTAAGTACGCCGTCTTGATGCGGCCACGCACGATTGCCTTGTACTGACGGCGGGACGCAGGTGTCGAAAGCTACGAAGTCTCCCTCGAGAATCAGACTGCCAAGGTCGTCACTGGCCTGCCCTACGAAACCGTCCTGACCAAGATTGCAAAGACGGGCAAGACGGTCAAGTCGGCCACGGCTGACGGCGTTGAGCAGTCGGTTGACATCCCTGCTGTTGCTGCCTAGATGTCTCCCGCTGGTTGCTAGGTCTTTTGCCGTTGAGGCGGAGGGACCTTGATGAAGATGAAAATCGAGGGGGCGAGAGTAACTTGTTATCATCGCGGGCTGATTTGGGCGCAAAAAGGATAGGAGGATTACTGCATTTTTTATGAGCGAATCGTTCAGAGAAGTGGGTGGATTTGATAAGGCCATTTCTCATCAAACGTGATGCTAGCCGCGTCTGGCGCTGTGAAGATATATGCATCCTTGAATTGAGCACACCGTTACTACCAGTGAGGAGTTGATATCTCATTTCGTATAGCTAACAACCTGGTTACTCTGCAGAGCTGGTGTTGCTGGCAAGGGTAGTCGGGCCTGGGGCATGCGGAGCAGCGAGCTTGTGATATATCGACGAAGCAAATCTTAGCTTGTGGCAATGAAGCCCATTCATCTTCTTGTCGACGAGCTAGCCATTTCCCCCCTCCGTCGACCTGCGAATCGCATATATCGATCTAGATCTGTGTCCCTAGTCACCAAAACCACAGCTCAACGAAAGCCATGCAAACACACCCACCGTGGACACAGATACACATACGCCACGGGGATGTGCTTAGAGAGCTCTGTTATTGATTCGTATTTCCCCGTAATCCCGCGCCTGCTCCCCAGATTCACCCCAGCGCGTACGATGGTATCAGGGTTCCAACATCCCTTCGAGCGAAAGTCGGCGGAAGGGAACAAGCTCCGACAAATCAAGAATGTCCCGGCCAGGGAACGCCACTGCCCTTTTCGCTCTTGGGAACGGCGAAACGGATGTAAAGAAAATCCATGCAACAATTCATAGTACACATGTACAATTGTGTTGAGGGGGGATCCACGTAATGCATTGCGGGGTTTTACTTTTGCACTCGGGCTGCTCCCCAGCGATGGTTCCCGGTCCTTAGTTGACATTGCATGATGCCGTGGGAATATCAGGTGTTTGACAAAGTGGAGTGATTCCTCGGGCCTTGTTCCTTCTCCGAGCTGGAGAGCTTCAAGAGGGCAAGAGCTTGCTTGGCATGCGGATGGGAGAGAGTCTGGCCACCACGGAATTCGTGGCAACCCCAAAAAGACTAAAAGTAACCAAATAAATAAAACATTATTCAAATTCTTCTGCTCGGAAGGCAGCCGCATATAAATTGATTGATCAATTTGGCCTCGTGGACGGTGAACTTGCAACCCCCCGGCATGAATCGTGCCAATGCGCGCAAACCGCCATGCCTGACTCCTCCCCGCATCCCGATCCTGCCAAGCCGCCGCTGCGGAACTCAAATTGACAGACCAACAACGCACGTCAGAACATGGACTTCCAATAAAGGCGAATAACCTGGCATTTATCCGTCGACGGCCTCCAATGCTACTTTGAACCTTTACTCGCAAACCAATCAACGCGGCGCTTTCCTCGCAAAACGCACTAATGCATCGGTCCTCGATTACCCCCTCTGCCCCGTACCATTCATTCCATCTCGTCCCTCACATCTAGACGTCCCTGTACTATGTATAGCCCCCCGCTCATGGTAGTCTCGTAGATCGTTTCAACACGGCGTGGAATAGTGATACGCGCGCGGACGACGGGCTGCGGGAATGAGTCCGTAGCTCCGCATCCCTCCTCTTATCCCGTCGGTGTTGTGCAATCCTCCAAAGCAACCATCTGCGGGCCCAACGCAGGCGATTACGCGGGAAGAACACGGCAACTCTTCTTCCTTGGTCCTCTTTTTCCCTTGCCCCCGTCATTCTCCTCTTTTCTCCTACTCGGGCCACTGGAGATTTTCGACGTCCGTCTTTTTGCACGCCACCCCGAGGCTCCGCTATTCTGGTGTCGTGGGCGGCGGAGATGGGGTGCCACAGTCGAATGTTGTATCATGGGGTGGTTGAGCGAGGTAGCGTTTTGTGTATAAACGGCTGCTTGAGTCGCTAGCTTTCTCTCTCCTCCTCCTCCTTCTTCTTGGACTTCAATTCGCTGATTCCGCTTTCCTCTCGTACGACGCTACTTGTGCTGGCTGTAAACCAGTTCTTATTGGTATACATTTGCGTTCATTGCCGCGTCTTTTCCTCCCCGGACACACGACACACGACTTGCCACGAAACAGCCGACAAATGACCGTCACCAAGATCCCCACGGAGCAATGGGCGGCGGTGGTGGAAAAGACTGGAGGACGTATGAAGTTTTCTCTTAATCCCCGGAGCCAAAATCAAAAGCACACCTTGCTGATATGATTTTACAGCCGTCGCATACAAGAAAATCCCCGTTAGAGAGCCCGGCCCAGATGAAGTCCTTATCAACGTCAAGTACTCGGGCGTCTGCCACACCGATCTCCACGCTATGATGGGTGACTGGCCCATCGCTCCCAAATTACCCCTCGTGGGGGGCCATGAGGGTGCCGGTGTCGTGGTTGCACGAGGCGAGCTCGTCGAGGACGTCGAGATTGGTGACCACGCCGGCATAAAATGGCTGAACGGGTCGTGTCTGAACTGCTCCTACTGCAACGTCGCTGACGAGCCGCTCTGTGGCAAGGCTTTGCTGTCTGGGTATACCGTCGACGGCTCATTCCAGCAGTTTGCTATTGCCAAGGCCGCCCATGTTGCTCGGATTCCCAAGGAGTGCGATCTCGCAGCCATTTCTCCCATCCTGTGCGCTGGCATCACCGTGTACAAGGGCCTCAAGGAGTCTGGTGCCCAGCCGGGGCAGTCTGTCGCCATTGTCGGTGCTGGCGGTGGTCTGGGGAGTTTGGCCTGCCAGTATGCCAAGGCCATGGGCCTCAACATCATTGCTATTGATGCCGGCGATGAGAAGAGAGACATGTGCTTGAAGCTTGGCGCTGATGTGTTTGTTGACTTCATGACCTCCACGGACCTTGTTGCAGAGGTCAAGGCGGCGAGTGCTGATGGCTTGGGTCCCCATGCTGTTCTCCTTGTCGCTGTCACCGAAAAGCCCTTCCAGCAGGCTACTCAATACGTACGGTCCCGAGGCGTCGTCGTCTGCGTTGGGTTGCCGGCCAATGCTAAGCTCTCTGCGCCCGTTTTTGATACTGTCATTCGTATGATTAATATCAAGGGCAGTTATGTAGGCAACCGTGCCGACACGGCCGAGGCCATTGAATTCTACCGCCGAGGCCTCATTAATGCTCCATTCAAGACTGTGGGTCTAAGTCAATTGCAAGACGTTTACGAATTGATGAAGGAGGGTAAGATTGCTGGACGATATGTTGTTGACACAAGCAAATAGCCTAGGCAGCCAGGGGAGCAATGGGGATGACGTTGAATTAAAAAATTTTCGACTGGTTTTTGATTTTTTTCATGATCTGACAGTTCTGCTCAAGCAATACTCGGAGCTGATGTGAACGTCTGGGAGGTCGTTGGGTAGAAGCGTGGCGTGGGGAGTTGACAATTTGGGATTCGTATCCCATAGAAGCGGCGAAGGTTGAACGAGCTGTTGTAAATATTGACACTTAGGGCACTTCAACTCTAAGACCTATTAGCATAAAACTTTTCATATGATGAATGTCCTTTAGGATGTTGCCAAGAGCTGTAATCCGGAGCCAGACCACCTGAACAATAATAATGGGCCAGCCAAAAGTGTGAACCCATGTCCATAAATGATATTTGTATTTTCAAGTCAACCTACCACTTTGCTTGTCGATGCCCTATTTTGACATTGGTTGCGCCCTCTGCCCTGCTTCCAACACCGTCGCCTGTCCGTGTCGTCTGCGCTTTTCTCCTTGGGAACCAGGTAAATCATTTTGAATTGCTCTATCAAACATGACATAAACAAAAATTTTATGAGCCCCCAGGTCCTCCCAACAAGGCAAATCTCCGCACGATGCTTGGGCCATACTCTTGATACTACACAGTCAGGTTAGCTCGGCATGTTCGTCGGTAGGTTTGTCACAGCTGCAGGCTTGACGTACCTCTGCCTTGGTGTGGCAGTAAGATCGGAATTCCGGGGTTTGTCCAAGCAGACTGCCACCGAACCATGGGCCATGTCGTTGTCTCTTGTGAGTAATAACCTGAACGTCGAGCCCACCGCTACGAGCTCCTCCGCTGCGAACCTCGCTGGCTCGAATCCTAGCATCGACGAGATGCTTGATGTCTCTCTGCAGCCGCCTGCCAAAGTCCTTGTAGAGGGTGCTTCCACCTGACAGCACAATATTCTTGTATAGGCCTCGTCGTACGTCGATGGGCGACTGCTGAATGACTCCGTCAACAACAACAGGCAACGGTGTAAGGAAGTCGGAGCTGTAAATTTCCGGGTTGAAGAAAATTTCGGGGGCAAGAAACCGCTCGTAACCGACATCAACGCTAACCTGACGGCCACCAGGGTGGGCGACAACGTGCTTCGCAAATCGTTCCCGATCGCGGTCGTACTTTGAGAATTCCTTGACAATATCGGGGCACACGTAGCAATATTCCTCCTTGATATCCTGGGCGGTCTTGAGGGAGGAATCGGGCTCGCCGCGGTCTCGGAGTAGCGACTGTACGAAATACGTGATATCTCGACCAGCAATGGGGATCGATTTGATGGACGATCCAATCACATAGCCTTCGGCAACTGGAATTACGTGAGTGACACCATCACCGGAATCGATGACAGTACCCGTCAAAGATCGATCCGTAACCTTGGAGGAAGTCCAAGAAGCAGCAAGGGCAAGCACAGCTTGCACTGCAATGTACATGCCCGCACAGTTGAAGGACTCGAAGAATATCTCGGCGGTGTTCTCTCGATTTTCGGGAGGATTCAGCGGCTATTGCTGTCAGAAGTGTTTTGGAAATTTCCAGGATACAGAAAATGCGGCGAGAGGCTCACTGGCTCGGTCAGAAGAAAGTAGTGGTCCTCGGGTTCTACTCGCAGGTACTTGAAGATTGAGTTTGACCAGAATCGTTCCATGTGATCCTAGGAGATCGGTCAGTTGGGAGACGTTAATGACAAATAACTTCACAAACCCAGTTTTCTATTTGTCCGTGCCGAATAGGATAATGAAGACCATATCCTAGAGTGATTAGTTAGCAGACAATCCCTCCTCAGCGCAAGGCCATTCAGAACACATACCAGGCCCTGAAGCGGCGCTTATCGCTTCATCACCAATGTAGAAGTCAAGATCCTCGGTTCCTCGCTTTGAGCTCAAGTTACTACTCGGGCCTGCGCCACCTGTAAGGAACGAAGGCTTGTTCGCGACAGCTGGACGACCAGACCCGGAACCACCGCTGCCTCCGGTAGGGCCTTTCGTGGCGATGGCGGTCGGGAAAACGAAGGACGGGGAATCGTTTCCGGCGAAACCTGAAGATCTCACGTCAATTGAGGGTGCGACTAAAGATCGATTGGGAGCATACCGAGCTTGGAAAATCCCGTGCCGCTACATTGCGTCAGATTAGTATGCTGTCGTGCGGGTGTTTCTCGTTGAGGAGCGGGGGGAAGAGAGCGTGGATGAACTTACTTGTCCATGACAACGGCGGGGGTTTGGTTCGCCATGATGACCGAGTGCGTATGCGGATGCGCACGAAGCAGGACGGAGAGTACAGGGAGGAGAAAGGACGAAGATGAGGCGAGGAGAGAAGACGGTGATGCCAAAGGGCCGTTGGCTTGTCGTCACCTCACCAGTCAGCTCCTAGAGGTCCAAAGGTGGGGTGGATGGTGGATGCGTCAAGGTGGTGGTGGTGCTGCTTTGTAGGTTGCGCCAATGGCCCAAGATTGGAAGCCCAGCCACAGCATGGTCGTACCTGCCCCGGGAGTAACTCTGCACCCAAAGGCCAATACGCGCGGCTTCAGCACCGCCACAAGGGAGAGTGGGGTCATGATAGGGCCTGGCTCCTCCAGCAACAACGCAGCAGCTTCGACAAGCACTGGAGCTGCTGCCACGCTGCCAGGAGACGTCATCTGAAGCTTGGGCGTAGGCGCCAAAATATTTTCAACCATACTCCGTGGACAGCATATGAGACTAATTCCATTGGGGCCAATATGCGCAAGGTAATTCTCGGTGCTCTCGTGGGTGAACTTATATACCGAGGAGGCTTAAGTGCGTAAATTTGCAAAGTTGACTGGATTCAAGCGTGGCCTGTCTTCGCTTCACATGCCCACCACGCTCTCTCCAGCTGCCATGCCCAGCCCTTGACAGCTTCACCGTGGCAAACCATGAAACCATGACTAGAGTGACACCTGCAAACACCCGAGGACCCAAACCCGCAACACAGGCGTAATCGCACACGAGACTGTATCCAGCCGTCGTCATCTTCAACCATTCACTTGTCGCTGTCTTTACGGCTCGGTGAGCCGTGAGTCAATGTCAGGCAGGAGCTCGTCGATCAAGCGTCAGCGAGCCAAGGGGCCTTGGCAACATTGAACTGGCCAACCTGGCCAACCCGACATACCTGACCTGAGCATCTGGAGTTCTGAGCATCTGGTAAAAACTTTGAACTTTTCCTTGACCTCTAGTGGCGCTTATGGCAACACCCATCACGGCAGGCGAGCATTCATACGCACATTTACATCGTTTGTTCTGCTTTGGAAGTTGCAACCTATGCTCGGAGACTCGCCGTCGCAGACACGTTCATTCCATCTAGAAACAGTGACATCGGCTCGTTGCGTTGTAAATCCTCCCCGTCTCTTCCTAAGGCTGCCGTTATCGGCTCCAAGCAACTACAGAAATTGTATCCCGCCATTACTTGGATGCCATTTACTCCGAGCTGGCTCATTCCGACCCAATCCCCTTTCCCTTTAATACCACACCAGCACACGCAAAATATCTTCATTGGCATCCTTAGCACGATTGGTATCGACACGGGCAATCCGAGTTACTAATGACTCTCAACTAGAATGAACGCCCATTGCCAACATGTGGACTCCCCAGTGATGGCTCAAAATAACCATGGCACCGATGGCGCGTTGGACCGTATGCTTCGTCTCAGTCAACGACAGAAAGCCGTTCCAGCCATCTTCATACATGCCGGCGCCGGTTTCCACAGCCATCAAAACGAACATGTCCATCTGGAAGCTTGTGTAGCGTATGTTTCCTATCCCATGATTTTCCCGTTTCTTGATGCAAAGTTCTCTCATCTGACCAACGTCCTCCAGGGCCTCCGAAATGGGTATGAAGTTCTTGAAAGCTGGTGCGACTGCAACCGAGGCTGTCGAAGCTGCTCTGCGAATCCTCGAGGATAAGGAAATCACCAATGCCGGCTATGGCTCGAACCTATCCATTGACGGTACAGTCGAGTGTGATGCTACAATTGTTGACCACCTCGGCCGAAGTGGTGCTTGCGGTGCAGTTCCAAGTTAGCTATCCCTTTGAAACGATGCCCCTTAACTCCGAGCTTCGCTGACACTCCCTTCCAGACATACGCAACCCCATTTCCCTTGCGAAACTCATTCTAGATACCAGTAGCCAGCCGCTTAGCCTTCGACGAGTCCCGCCAAACGCACTTGTCGGTGAAGGGGCTCGCATTTTCGCCGAGGAGCATGGCGTGGTTACCTTTGCGAATGAGTACCTTGTCTCAAAAAACTCCCGCGACCGGTTCTTTCGTTGGCAAGAGGATCTGTTACGGGCAGAAGAAAGGGTCCAAGATTCTCGGACGGGTTTACAGTCTCCATCTGTCACCATGGCATGTGTTCCTTGTCAATACGACACGGCCCCATCCGCAGATACACGTAAACCATTTCCTCGCGAACATACGGCGGCAATACTGGCTGGCACGTGGAATGAGGGACAGCCTGACTCACCATATGCGGGCACTCCAGCTCCTGACTCTGCCAGCATGCAGGAGGGTTCTTTCTTCTCACCACGGTCCAACGTATCGCCGTCTGCCCCAACTTCGAAATCACCCCGGCCATCACCAAGATCTCCCATTTCTTCAGCCTCTTTGGCTGAGAGTAAAATCATCGGGGTCTCCCCAACACGAGCCAGATATATTGACAGGCGGCCAGACGTGGTCGTAGACAGCCCAAGTCCAACAGGCACTATTCGCCGGAATGCCCCGGAAATTTCGCGATCAAACAACAGTTTCACCCTGGAAGCCTCGTCTCCATGTATACAGTCAAATCAATGCGACAACACGCCATCAATTCCGAGCGGCCTCCAAGGTGTAAAACGACCTTTTCATGAAGAAAACCAACCTCGAGAGACTGACGGTCCAGTAGCTAAGCGCCAAGTGCGGTTGAACAGCCGAGACGAGGACATGATCACGGACACTATCGGTGCTATTGCGATTGATGATCAAGGAAGAATAGCTGCGGGATCTTCTTCCGGGGGCATTGGAATGAAGCACCGAGGACGCCTGGGTCCTGCTGCCCTTGTTGGTATTGGCACAGCTGTAGTACCATGTGCGGAAGACGATGAAGAAGGAATTACTGTAGCTGCTGTAACAAGCGGAACCGGGGAGCATATGGCAACGACAATGGCATCACAAAGATGTGCAGAAAGAATCTATACAGGAACACGACGAGCGCCAGGTGGCGGGGATATGCAAGACGACGATGAGGACGCAATTATGGAGTCATTTATCTCTGAGGACTTCATGGGCCACCCTGGGGTCAAGAATTGCAACTCTCAGGGAGCTATTGGTGTCATGGTGGTCAAGAAAAGCCGAACTGGATACTATCTCTACTTTGCACACAACACAGATTCCTTTGCTCTTGCATCAATGGGAGCGCTTGAAAAGGAGCCTCGTTGTACCATGTCTCGGCTTCCTGACGGTGCTAAGATTGCCAAGGGTGGTCGCAAAATACGAATTTCTTGATGCAAAGCTAGTGTTCTCACTGTGTACCTAGAACTGAGCCATTCCTCTAGTGCTTCGGGGATCGCCGTGGCAGAAGTGTCGTCGTATAGTCATCTGTGGTTTACGAAGCATGTTTAGCAATATCGATACCCCCTCCTATGAATTCTACTTCCTCAATATCAGATGGGCTTCTATTGGGACAGACGAGTGATTTCATCTCTGAAAAAGCACCGTCAAGACTGAATATTTGAGCATGATATCATTATAGTGTAGTATACATTTTCCCCAACGCCAACCTGTGGTTTGCAGCTGTGCCCTGGGGCCGCAGCCAACTCTGCAGAAACTCCTGTTCCCATTGTGCTCTCTTCAGTGCTCCTCCATGTGGTCGCGGACCCAAATATAGCCTCTAAAAGGTCAGCAAGATCCTTCCTTTACACGACGATGAGCCGAGTCGTAGCCGAGCCTCTGACTATATTATCGTAATTCATCTAAAGTGCACCACCCGCATTCGCGCATTGCCCAGCTTGTCGAAGCCAAGACGCTGATATCTATTCTCCGTCGATTTTACCGCAGAGGAGTACCAGTAGCGCTACCGGTCTCTTCTCGCCCACTGCCACCGTTCATGATCCTCTTTTTCTTTTTCTTTTTGCGGGGCACAATAGCCGGCTTAGCGCCGTAGTTACCCATCGCCAACTTTGTTCCACAGGTCAAGCACTCCGCGTTCTCGGGCAGTTCGCAGAATATGCTCAAGCAGATGGAGCATATGAAACCCCTGTCGACGACTTTTCCGTGACAAAAACAAGCAGCTCGGAAGTCTACCGTATCGTGTGTTGGGGTGATGAGCGACTGGCGAGCTTCCGTGTCCGCTATCAAGCCAAACATGAGGTAGGTGAGGAGGCCTTTGGGGTTTGCGGCGGCGAGAAAGATGCCGTTTGTGTTGAAACAGGCTTGCTGCAGGAATGTAGGGTTGCCTGAGAGAGAGAGCGTGTCAATGGCTACCTGGGCGTGAGCGGCAGCAAACACGGCGTTCATGGTTGGTATGTACTGGGTTGGCTCGGAATCGGACACGGACACGACCAAGATGCGGCCCTTCATTGGGGGCGCGGCGTTGGCACTTGGTTGGGCCACTTCTGCTAAGCTGCTGGATGCGCCGCTGAGTGCTTGAGAGGCTTTGTTGATGTGGCATAATGCCAGCGTCAAGGCACCAGATAGTTGGGTGGTAGTTGCCTCGAGATCTTGCTCCGTTGTTTCGCTCATCAACTTCTGCATCGATCCGAGGACGGCGGTCTCGATCTGCGCGAACTGCGGGTACTTGTTGGCCGAGTTTCGCGGGGACTCGCTAGAGACATCGTTCATATGAACGTCGTCGGAGGTATCCTTGGGTGATGTTTGAGGAGGCGTTGGGTAGAGCCATACTGCGCGGTTCACGTGGGCGGCTACTATTGCGACCTGGTTGACATTGCTGAATGCTAGATGGGCATTGACGAAGACGAGGATGTTGGCGATGGCTTTTGATATGGAGAGGACATTGTCTAGTGCTGCCCAGGCGCGAGGATTAGTGTCTATGACGATGGAAAGGAGGGATGGTGTTTCTTCGGCGGTGGTGACCTCGTAGTGCTCTGAGACGTCGACGGCGTCCATGGTGGACGGGGAGAGGTGCCGTCGAAGGCAGCTACGAGGCCAATTCTCCGAGCGGGAATTATAGAGGGGGGGTTTCCTGGCAAGTCTAGTGAGGCGTCTTTTTAGTTATCGATATCGCGATGAAGAGTTGGGAGGCAGGCGGGTGTGAAGCTCTGTCGAAGCGAACGGTTGTTGCAGCAGAGGGCCGGGACACAACCATATTAGAGATTCTATCTCATGTTTCAAGTTCGTACCCTTTGGATAGCTGCAAGCGATGGCAATAGGAATATTATAGACGGGCCTTGCATGTAATATTGCATCCCCGAGGTTGAAAGGTGGTCGGTGTATTCACAAATGTCAACGATGCAGGTCGTGTGCAGAGATCGGCAAAAACTACTTCGTCACAGTTGCTGAGAGGACAAAGACCAAGCTGACTGGTGGCTGGCCACCTAACAAGCAGGCGGCTTGGCTGAAGCCACTGGTGGCGTTACAGCACTTCCACGTGACTGTGGCTTGAGTCACAGTGGCTGTTGGTGCTGTACATAAGCGAAGGGGTCTAGGTACTAAATACCTTGACTGTGGTATTTACTGGCAACTTGAGCTGGGGTATTTGTACTCCGTACTAAGTACTTAAACTTAGTGAAGTAAAGTCTCACAACAATCAAGCTGCTGTACGGAGTACTTCTCAGCACTTCGTAACTCAGGCTCATCATTCGGCCGATACCTGGTATCCTCAGGTACCCCAAGTGAGGGGCAGCCTGCCAGAGCTCCATCCAAGTTGAACCTTGACCTGTCCATTCACCCATTCAATCTTCTCCCGACGCAGCTGGAGCAAAGCTCGCACGCCCCATCTCTTCATGACGAACCAGAGGACGCCTGACGCCATAAAGGGACCACAGTGGGCGGCCAACATGCCAAAGTGGAGAGAGCCTGAGCAAGACGGTGGTTTTTGGTCGTTGTTTTATGCCTATCACGATCCTTGAAGCTCGAGCTGGCTTTTATCTCAGAAGCTAGCGGGTAACTGCACGGGTTGCGGGAAGTGAGTGGGAACGAGATACAAGAAACAAGAAACACGCAGCTCGGAAACCTGGAAGCTTGAATCACGTTTTGACCCGACTCTAGGCACAAGTCTCGATCCTATTACATGTAGCTCCCAAGGGCAGTCCTCTCTAGCTGCTGCTCGCGTTCTTCCTCTACACTTCTTGTTTCATCCAAGTCGCATGAGTCCTTGGTTGTACTCTGCCCGCCACATCCTCGCCCTACGTCACACTGCCGTCTTCGTCTTCACAAACCTGCCACGATGACGGAGACCCTCCAGGGCTCGGCACCGGCCGCAACTCTCGAAGACCAGACCCTATTGGTTTTTGCTCGTCTGATGGAAGGCGGCCAGGAGGATGAAGCGACATGCAGAGAATTGGACCAGCTGACAAAGTTATTAAACGACGACGCCGAGTCGCAGGAAAAAGACGACCAGTACAAGACCATATGCAACGTCATCGACAGCGATTGCGTCGACACCGTCTTGTGTTATCTCGATATGCGCCAGCCCGATATTGTGCGAGGCCATGCAACTCTCGTCACCTCTGCCTATCTCAAGGCCGCCGGAGATGACGGATCCAAGAAGTTGTCTGAATTCTTCTTTGAGCGTGTCAAGAGGGGTACTTATGACGACTACATTGTAGCATTCTGCGTCGCTTCAGCAACTTTCCCCATCGTCCCGGATTTGACCGCGCACTTGTTCTTGAGTGAAGGCTTTTTGAGTAGTCTTGGTCCACTTATGAGGAGGGAGTGGAAGAGTCGTAAGGTTGAGACGGCCTGCTTGGAGATGCTCAACGCAGCATGCATGAATTCCATGTGCCGCGAAGCTGTTCAGAAGTATTGCGTCGAGTGGTTGGAGGAAGTCGTTGATCAGGATCCTACAGGTTCGACTGATGGTCCCAACGGTGAACCCAAGGTTCAGGGCGAAGGCGGTTCCATTTCCATGAGACGACACTCGGAGCAGGTTCAGCATTTGGCGGCTGTTATTTTGGCGAAGCTTAGAGTGAGTTTATGAACCCCGGTGCTGATTTTTGTTTTTCTTCTTCTTTTCCATGCCCGACATCTGGGGGTCAAGATACCCTTTACTTCATGTTGGATCATGGGTGTTAACGTAAAACTAACATAGACTGAAGGCAGTTCCTTCTAAGCCATCGGTCAATGATCCCAACAGGCCCAGGATCGAGCCAGCAGTAACCAGCATCGAGGATTTGTCGGGCATCTTTACCAAAATGATACTACGAGATGGCGACCACGGCAAGCATTCCATAGAGGGTCTTGCTTACGCCTCTTTGCAACCAAAGGTCAAGGAAAGCATCATCGCCAACGAGGCTCTTCTCAAGAAGCTAGTCAAGACTCTTACAGAAGCGCAACCGCGGTCACCCACCACCTACGGCGCTCTCAGCATATTTGTCAATTTAACGCGGTACCGACCTGCGTTGTCAGAGGAACAGAAGAAGATGAGCCAATTGAAAGCCTATGCGGATGCCGCAGGGAAACTTGCCGGGCCCGACCCCTTAGATGACGACGAACACGTCGCGAAACGTTGTCAGGCGGTTTTTAGTGTCGGCCTCATTCCTGTCCTTGTCACCCACAGCAAGAACGGCTCCCCTGCATCCTTGAGCCTCATCACTTCCATCATCAACTCCATCGCAGTTACAACATCTCTGCGGGGACCGCTCGCGCAACAGGGGGCGGTGAAACTGCTTCTTGTAGCGTGGGTTACCATCCCTGATACAGATGAAGTGTCCCGGCGGACAGCAGCCCAGGCACTCGCTCGAATTCTGATTAGCACCAACCCTGCTTTAGTATTTGGAGGAAACCGATCGAATCCAATCAACGCCGCCATCCGGCCCCTAGTTTCTATCCTGCCTCCTGACCCAGCTGCCGAGACCAGAGATCTGTTGCCTACCTTTGAAGCACTCATGGCATTGACGAATCTCGCCTCGTTGGATGAAGGCGATACGCGGAGTATCATCATCCGTATGGCATGGCCCCACGTTGAAGAGCAACTTGTATCGTCGAATAAACTCGTTGCCAAGGCTGCTGTCGAACTTGTCTGTAATTTAATGCAAGCACCCGAGGGAATAGCCCTCTACGCAGATGGAAGCCCACAGTCCCGAACCCGTCTACACATCCTGTTGGCCCTAGCTGATGCCGAGGACGGAGGAACTCGAAGCGCCGCAGGCGGAGCCCTGGCTTCTCTTACCGGATTCGAATCAGTCGTGCGATATGTTGTGCAACGGGAGAGAGGGGTCAAGGTTATTCTTGGCATGTGCAATGATCCCGACGAGGGATTGAGACACCGTGGTGTGGTGACTGTGCATAATTTGGTCACGGCCGAAGGGGAAGCAGGGCAACTGGCGAAGAACAAGGTCAAGGATGAGAATGGCGTCGAGGCACTGAAGCAGTGTTTGAAGCAGAGCCGGCGGCCGGAGGTGTTACAAATTACTGTGGAGGCGTTGAAGGTCCTGCTGGATCAAAAGTAAATGGTATTAGCTACAATGATGGAAAATTGGAGCACAGAGAAGGCTTTATCGTGCATATCTTTTGCGTTTCATATCATAACCCAACAATAGGCTGGTGTATCGGCATGGAATATCCAAATGGAGCAATATTACGCGTTCGTCTATGGATCCTTCTCTGTGTCACCATTTTCAGTAGCCCGCTGCTCACATCTATTCAAAATGGCAACGCCCTCCACATGTCCCGTCTGAGGAAAGAAATCAAATCCAACAAGGCTCTCAATATCATACCTTGCGCCATCTCCTTCCCCTCTCACCAAAACACCAACATCTCGTGCCTGCGTGTGAACATTGCAGCTTACATATAGTATTCTCTTTGGCCCGAATGTCCGCAGTTGTCCCAAGAAATCGGCGTCGCAGCCCTTCCGAGGAGGATCCAACACCACCACAGTCTCGTCAGCGGGGTACGTGACGCTTTTGAAGAGTTCACCAGCATCAGCAGCGATGAACTTGCATCGATCCTCGCCTAGACCGTTGAGAGAAGCGTTGTTGCGGGCCGAGGCGATGGAATCAGCTGCAATGTCAATGCCCGTCGAGTGCTGAAATACAGAGGAGAGGGTGATGGTGAAGAGGCCGGAGCCAGAGTAGGCGTCGATGAGGTACCTGATGGGGCTGTTGGATGGAGGGGGGAGGATATGCTCGCGGACATAGGCAGTAAATTTGGGGAGGATGGAGTTGTTGTTTTGGAAGAATGACCCGGCGGGGTTTGTGAATGTGTGGCTGCCAATGAATTCGGTTGTGGTGGCCTTGGAGTCTGTCTCGCAGGTTTTGATGTCGATGAAATCGTCGCCTTCGGTGCGAGCAGTATAGGGAGGCAGTGCGTCTTCCTTTGGTGGTTGATCTCCGTCTTGGGAGTCCTTGGGGTATCTGTGAGTGTTCTCGCGCAGCAGGATGGTTGCGCCGCGGTGATAGTTTTGGAACTCGCTCTGCATGCGCTCTCGTTCACGGGTCATGCCTAGTCGTACTGCCGAAGTGCCGATGGGGCAATCTTCAATATCGAGGACCCTGCGCTTGCCCTTTTGCATGAAGCCTATGTCCGGGCAGGATTCAAACGAGACCTTGGTAGCCTTTCTCTTGCTTGGTCTAAAGCCCGGAGGTCCATCAAAGTGCGGCGTCAGCTTGGTGCGGTAACCGTATTGCAGGGGACTCCCAATAGTATCCTGAATAGCCGGGACCAGTTCAGCGGGCAAATTCGAAAAGTTGCGGTAAGCCTTGTCCAGCACCCTCTTCTTTAGCTTGAGCTGTTCGGCGTAGTCCAGCATCTGGAACTGGCAGCCACCGCACGAAGAGAAGTACTTGCACTGGATACGAGCATCGTCGCGCAAGGGTGAAGGTTTGACGATGGAAATGAAGTCTGCAACGGTCTGGTGCTCTCGGGGAATGTGACGAAAGACTTTGACTTTGGCAATATCTCCTGGTACGGTAAAGGGGACAACGTAGACTTGGTTTGAGCCGGAACGCATGGCGAGACCATCACCGGTGGAGGAGAGCTCAAGCACTTCTACTTCTGTCTCGGTGCCTTGCTCGGGTAAGAGCTCACTCTCTTGGGTTGTACGACTTGTCTCCTCAGAGTCAGGGCTGAACCCTTTTGATGCTAGTAGAGCTTCAATGTCGCGGCGAAGAACCTCCTCTGATGAACCCTCTGTGATGTTCTTCTCCCGCTTCGTCTTCTTCTGCTTCCAGGGCTTGGAGTTACTACCATCGGCATTGTGTTGGCGTTTGGGGCGTCCTTGGCCATTCTGAGCTTGTACCAGATGTGAGGGGCGTGAGTGCTCTGCCGAAGCGACGGTTGCCGCAGCTGCTGGAACAGCATTTGGTGTTGATGTCATTGTTGCAAATGGGCGGATAAAAGTGTGCGACGGCAGTTTGACAAGACGGGCTGCAAGACGTCGGCAGGGTCGCATCTGCGATTATCAATGAAGAAGCGTCGTCTGTTGAGTAAAGCGAGACCCTGGCTAGGATTCTCAATGACTGTTCCAAGCTAATTCATATTTCCTGTAAGGTTCCAGACAACTGATGTACACGATGCACTTGTATCGAGGTACGAAACATGTTTGCAGACGTTCAACATTGAAAAAGAAAAAAAATGCTGTCAGCCAATGACGTTGCTTACCATGCGTGGAAACGGGCTCTCTACCATTGGCCAGCGGCGCCTGCGCCTTGCATTGCAACTTGCTTTTTTGGTCTGGTTCGGTCCTTCCGTGCCGCCAGGCGCGTGGTCAGTAACTGGCGGCGCGTGACCTTGGCCAGAGACCGTTATCGGTCATGGCTCCAACTAGTATATGGGGAACCTGGTCTGGCTGGTCTGGCTTTGACCGAGTTTCGTCTGTTCCGGCCATGCCAGATCCCGGATTTGAACTGTTCTAGAAACACAGTTGAACGGGGAATATAATTCCTGGCACAGCCTGGCTGGGTTTTTTCTTCTTTCTTCTTTTTTTGAATCTTTTGGCACTTTGGCCACGTCGCCTTCTCATAGTAAACGGCCAACGCAGGCAGCTAGGCTCAAGAGCCGCGAGTCGGCGCTGATGCCAATCTTGACTCCAATAATCTGCCTTCCTTTTCCGTCCATCTTGACGCAATGAGTGAGGCTTCCCCATGATGTTGATACAAACGAAGAAAACCCACTTACAACCATGGTAGAAACCCTCATGCCGCACCTCGCCCGGTTGCTCCTGGCCTCTCTCGCAAACTATGGCTTCACTCATGCCAGTGCCTTGCCGGAAGTTGTCTTTAGACCAACCACAGATGGATCCCTTGGTGCCGTTGCTAGCGAGAGTGCCGAGTGCAGTGCTATTGGCAGAGACTTGTTGGCTCGAGGCGTGAGGCTTTCTCCGCCATCTTATCGCATGGACTCTGCTGACTCTCAGGCCAACAGGGCAATGCTGCAGATGCCCTGGTAGGGACCACATTTTGTGTCGGCGTCATCGGCATGTACCACTCTGGCATTGGCGGAGGTGGATTCGCAATGGTCCGTGACTCCGCGGGTAACTATGAGGCAGTCGACTTTAGAGAAGCTGCTCCTGCAGCAGGCCATGAGGATATGTATCAGGGCAATGTCCGTGGAAGCATATACGGCGGCCTAGCTGTGGGAGTACCAAGTGAGGTTCTCGGGCTGGAATACATTCATAGCAAATATGGTGTATGCTCCATCTCCTACTTTCCTATCATGTTCATGTTCATGTTCCTGTTCCTGTTCCTGTTGCTAACTCGCCCATGTAGTCACTGCCATGGAAGACCGTCATGCAAGGCGCCATTCATGTGGCCCGCCACGGCTTCAGGGGTATACATTTCCGATGCCCCGATGCCCAAGGTTCATGGAAATAATTGGTTACTGACAAACAAGTTTTCAAGTTTCAAACGATTTAGTACGCTACGTCGAGCGCGCTGTCAAGGAGAGGCCCAATTTTTTGGTGGAGGATCCTAACTGGGCACAAGACTTTGCCCCCAACGGTTCGTTCGCCCAAACGTTAACGTGCCATACGTTTGCTTACGAGTATACAGGGAGTCTTCTCCAGGTCGGCGAGATAATGACAAGAAAGCGTTATGCCAAGTATGTTTGTTTCTTTCACGCCTTTCTCCTCAAAACTAATACATTCGTCCCAGCACTCTGGAGAAGATTGCAAATCAAGGCTCCAAGGTCTTTTACACAGGCGAACTCGGTGCGCTATTCGCTCCTTACTTACGTTTCAAAATGCTATCAGGCTGACACACATTCAGCGGAAACATTGGTCAACTACATCCAACAAACAAACGGCACCCTGACATTGTCCGACTTCAAAAACTACAAAGTTATAAGTCGGCCTGTCAAAAACGTCACCTACCGTGGCCTCCATCTGTACACTATGGGCACTCCTGCCAGCGGTTCTATAACTCTCAACATTCTCAAAATCATGGAGCAGTTCGACGTAGCAGACTCGAAAGACACGAATCTCACATCTCATCGCTTTGTAGAAGCCATGCGCTTTGGGTACGGCGCTCGTGCTGAGCTTGGCGATCCAGCGTTTGTGGAGGGGCTAGATGAATACGAAGCGCATCTGTTAGATGCGGCTCACGCCAAGCAGATTAGGGAGCGTATTTCTGATGAGCAGACTCTCCCGGTGAGGGAGTATGATCCCAAGGGTGTGGCATTGCCCGAGAGTCACGGGACGTCGCATATCGTCACGGCTGATAGGTCTGGGATGGCCACGTCGCTTACTACGACTGTGAATTTATTGTTTGGTGCGCGGATCATGGACCCATCATCCGGTATTATTTTGTACGTTCTCCCCTTCTTCCTCCACGTATCATGGCCACCAATTACACGTCAGTCTAATATTTTGATAGAAACAACGAAATGAATGACTTTTCCATACCCGGTGTTCCCAATGAATTCGGCTTCCAACCCTCCGTCGCCAACTTCATTCGCCCCGGAAAACGGCCCCTATCCAGCGTGGCCCCTGTCATCGCCGCATTTCCCGACGGCAAGCTGTTTGCCACTGTTGGAGCAGCGGGTGGTTCTCGCATCATTTCTTCCACTACAAGTGCTCTATGGCGTACCATTGAGCAAGGGATGACCATGAAAGAGGCGCTTCGCGAGCCGCGTCTTCACGACCAAGTGATGCCGAATACTCTACTTCTGGAATATGGATTTGATGCTGAAACGGCGGCAGGGCTCGGGGAGAGGAAGCACAATATTACGTGGGTGGGACCAGGTTTGAGTGCTGTTCAGGGTATTAGGAGGCTGCGCGATGGGTCATTTGAAGCGGCGAGCGAGCCTAGACAGAAGAATAGCGGAGGCTTTACAATATAGATATATATGCATATATAACACCCCTACCCCTAGATTAGAATTGTATATCCATTTCTTGCTGCACATGTATTTCTCTCAGCGATATGACGTCTATGTTGTTAGGCTACACATTGTAGCAAGCAGAGGTTCACTCCGCACCAATATCTCACCCGTCCCTCAGGGGCAAAAAGAAGGAAGAAAAGACATCTCTGGGAAATATAAAGAAATCAAAATGCACGGAAAATCGGGGTATCTCCAGGTCTATATGTAATCTTAGCCAGACATTATGAAATCTTATTTTCTCATTGCCACCAGACGGCTCGTTTCATCAACCCATTTCTTGGCGAACTCTTCCTCGGTGAATCTAATGGCTGACTTGCGAGCGCGCCTGCGCATAGCCAGAGGGTTAGGCTGTGACAAAGCCTTTTCAAAGCCTTCGGCAAACTCTTCTTCGTTGGTTGCGTGGTAGCCTTGGAAGAAAGATGTTAGCTAAACCTATTACTCTTCAGCGAAAAGGGGCCCTTACCAGTTGGTTCTCCATCCACCTCTATGACTATGTCGAGCTTTGGTCCCCCACTGTTATGAACAACTGAAATGAGACCCGCCGCCTGGTACTCAACTACACCTATACCAAAGTGCTCGTTCCACATGCCGTTGACGCCGACAGAGGCCTTTCTCAACCACTCCAGAATTTCTGGCCATGAAGCATCAAGATGGAACACGATCTGGTCCTTGATGCCGAGCTCGTTAACAAGGAGTCTCAGTTGGTACACCTTCTTGGAATCCTGATCGTCTCGCACGCTGCCGATAAGAACAAGTCGCGCCTTCTCGGCAGCCTTGGTCTTTGTTTTTAAGAACTTTGCAAAGGACTGCAAGACGAGTTGATGGTTCTTCTCGGGTCGAAATTGAGCAATATACACAAGGACCTGTTCTCGATTCTTCTCACTCGCCTCAGATACTTCCACTTCTTGTTCCAGCTCGCGAACAGCCACGGGTGGGTATACGACTGCAATAGGATTGTTTCTGTCCTTTTGGACTCTATGCGGTCCCCATAAGCTCTTGACATGACCCTGCGTCCAAGTAGAGTTGGTCATGACGACGTCAATCGAGGAGCCAACCCACGAATAGATCATGGCAAATAAGCGCCAGTATGTCTTCTTGGCAAAACCACGAGTTCCCTGACCCTGACCGGCATTTACTCCTTGCGATCCCACCACAGAAGTCGGGTCAAGAGAGTCAAGCATGTCGGTCGAAATGGTAGGGTAGTGGACATAGGCGCCGGTAGGGACGTTTCGAAAGAGAAACTTGCATAGGCCCAGAGCAAATGCGTATCCCATTGTGTCAATAAAAATATCCGGAACAAGCAAGGAAAAGGCATCCCAAGCTAAAATCATGGAGCCAACTGATTGTCCGAGCAAGGTGAAGTGTGGCCAACTCGAAGCAAGAACCCAATGGCGTTTGGAAAGGTATAGGAATTGGACAGTTGGCGGGTGAAGGTGAATATTAAATCGACTCTGTATCAAAGTTAGGAAGGCCAGAACAAACGTGCGAATGGTATGATTGAAAGTGATCAAGCGAACCTCAACACGACGCAGTATGGCGTCCTTGGTTACATCATGATCTCCCGTGTATACGACGCACTTGGCTCTCGGCCAGCGATCCTGAGTGGCGCGAATAGCAGCCCACAGCACCCGCTCCCCGCCACCGCCAGCATTGCTATGCTGGTTGTCAGCCTTTGGTCGACGGCTATGTGGTGATGTGGTGGACATACCAAAAGGGGTGGAAGAATCCAATGATGCCATTCCAGTCCTTGGCCCCAGTCTTCAGATGGCTATGGCCAACAGCTTCCCACTCCTCATTAGAGCTCGTCTTCTTAGGTTCGGGGTTCTCTTTGCAGTATTTTTCGTCCTCCTCGTCCATCACAGAGAGAAGTTGTGTTCGCCGGCCCTCGGTTCTCTTGCGTAGTATGAAACCCAGACACCGACCAACTCGATTCGCAACGACGGGGGCGAAGACGACGAAGAGGAATGGCGACGAGGCCAAGAGTGTCACAGCTATTGCAAGCGTCTTGGGGTCCAGGCCAAAGGAAAACGGGCCTTGAGCCGCCGGCGTTGTGCAGGTATCGGCCATGGCGGGCAAAGGTAAGGCGGTAGGTGGGAGACGGCAGACGGAAGCCAGTTGGCCGGGTTGGTGATGGAAAACAGGGAGGGAAAAGATATGCAAACTCTAGAGAAACGGCGGCGGCATCTGCATTGCGGTTTGAAGATTAGGCATGGCCCGTTGCCGTGGAAAGAAAACGAGTGGCAAAGGAGGAAAGGGGAGTCGGACGGATTGAAGGAGTCGAGACGTCGAGATGTGGCCAGCTTTCAGATTGCCGTACATGTGGTGCTCCGACAAGTAGACGATGGAGCACAAGCAGCTAGCGAACATTGAATGGTGGGGGAACGAACGGAAAGATCCAGTGTACTTTTTATAGCCACCAGTGGTGCCATCGGTGTCATCGGCGCCCCTCAATGGCGAGAGCTTGATCAAATGATGATGCTTGCCTGTTTCGCACGTCCATGTCGACGACGGCACCGACAGTTGACCACTGGCAGGTCAACGTTGATGAACATCGATATCAATGAAGCCCAGTGCCCCGTGCCCCGTGCTCCGCCGGTTGCCCATCAGAGTCACACCGAAGCACCCCGTGCTGCCCTCGATATTCAATGTTGTGTCTGCATGTGGTCTGGTGGTCCCTGCAGCTCCTTGAAGTGCCCTGAAGCGTCGACTCCATGTCCTGCACATGCAGCGCCCTGCCCCTGGCCATGTCACCCACCACATGTGCAGACTGCTCGCTGCCCGCTACAGTGGGTTATAGTTGACATGTACCCGCCCCGTGTGGCGCTGAGGTGGCCGCCAGCCCAGTTCCCCAGCCGTCAACGTTGCAGTAGGGCCAGTTGAGATGTCCGCAACTGCCTGGGCCACGGAGCTGATACCAGACAGCATGGAATATTCAACACTTCCTGTTCCATGGTTTCCGTCTAAGTAGTTAACTGCTCAGTTATCCGAGTACTAACACGCATCACAAATCATGACAAATACTGCCTCGCCTATTCACAGAATATCAAGGCGGTGTCCGTTATACAAGGCCCCAATTGTGCCTGGTGTCAGTGATACTTGCCCCGTACATACTCCGTACATACACATAATATGTACCAAGCCTTTAGAAAGACCCACCCACAAGGCATTGTTCAAATGTTACCCCTGTTACTTGAGCCTCAAATGATCACATTCATTCAATGTTCTGGACCTCACGCCTGCTTCTTCACACTCCAACCGCAACTCACGACCAGTCAGAGATCAACCCCTTCTCGCCGATATCGCCATTAGCCTCAACCATGGCACATCATGCCGGCATTCCATAGATCAGCGTCAAAACTTATCCCCCTGACAAGAGCCTCCGCAAGACCACCAACTCATCTCGTCTCGAAACCTCAACTCAACCCTCTCACGCGACGCCAATTTCACCTCTCAGCCGTAGGAGATGCCGTTGTCTTCACGGCAAACAGTATCTCGTCCATCCACACCGCCGGAATCCCATGGTACTTGTCCATCCCGCTCGTCGCTCTCGGAGTGAACTTCTCCTTCCGCCTGCCCATCCAATACTACACAAGGCAGCTGGTAATTAAAAGAAGCGCCCTGAACCCGCTCGTATCAGCATGGAGCTCACGTCACGCCGTTTCCACTCCAAGGGGAAGTAGCGAGCATGCGGAGCGTCTTTGGAAGCTGCGCGTCGCAGGGTTGACGGAGAAGTCCCGCAAGAGGATATACAAGACGTTCCGGGTGCAGCGGTGGAAGACGCTGGCGCCGTTTCTAAGCATGGTGCCGTTTGTCGTCGTCTCGGAGGCTCTGAGACGGCTTTGCGGCGCTCCCATGGGGTGGATAAGTCATTCGATTGGGTTGGCGAATATGGACAAGGTGTCTGCTACCTTGTCGGATGCGAGTGGTTTGTTCGACGAGGGACTCGCGCATGGCGGGTGTCTGTGGTTTGCCGACTTGACAGCCATGGACCCTTACTATGTTCTGCCGATGCTGTGTTCGGCCTTGTTGGCGCGAACGTCTTGGGGGAGGCTGTCCAAGGATCAGCTGGGCGTCCTGTTGAGTCTTGACGGGTCCCGGGCGCCAAAGACGCCGATGGCGAGGATACAGACGGGCATCGGCCGGGCACTGCTCTTGATTCCACTGTTTCCTATGTTGTTTGCGGATCTTCCAAGCGCTATTTTCTTGTACTGGGCGACTACGTTTGCGCTCAACGACGTGAATGAGTCCATCTTGGAGAGGGCTATTCCCAAGCAGGCTCCCAAGCTCAAAATGGTGCAGAGAATACCTCCCGCATTGCCGTATTTACGGGGAAGTCACGGAGACGCGAGCAAAGGTGCAGGGTCAGTGCACTAGGGATGTAGTATTGGGATTTATTGGCATGGAAAAGACGGGCTTTGGAAAAATGCCGACCCTCTCTTGTACATTATTATAATCATCATCAGGCTGTGTACACATGAACAAACATAAGAAAGAATAACCCCCACCCGTAAACTCCAAACTTTGCGAAATGGAAAAACTGGGAAACAGACAGCTCTATTGCACGTCTTGGCTCTGATACATCTATCCCAGAACAATCGCCAAGATGACAATCGTCAGAATAACAGCAAGAATGAGAAGCAAGCAGCAGCTCTTGTTCCGAGCAGCCTTTTGATACCTCGCCGCTTGGCGGGTCTCTCTCTCGGCCCCCATGGTGGAATCGTACGTGTTGTCCACATTTTCGGCAATGGTACGGATGCTCTCATCCTGCTCTGAGACCATGTGTGCCACTTGGCGGAACAAGACATTCAAATCGCCAACGCCCTGCTCAATGTTGCGAATCTCCTCCTCTCGCTCGACGATGAGGGCTTCCTGAAAGTCCACTTCGTGTTGGGGTGCCATGTGCGACAGTTCTTGCTGCTGCAGAAGTTGCTGCTGCTCCTGAGTGGCGCCGCCCTCTCCGTGTCCGTGAGCATGTTCGGATTCGTGGGCTGCTCTAGCGGCGCTGACGGATGCCTTTTCCCTGTCCAAAGCCTTTCTCTGTAGATCCTGAAACTCTTGGAGGGCCGCTTGGAAATCGCTGGATACCTTGGTTTGCTCATATTTTTGCTGTTTCTATGCATCTTGTTAGCCGAGATATACTGGGGAGAGGCACATATATATATATATATCGGCTCGACGAACCGTAAGGTCCTCCCAGGTCTGCAGTCGCTTCACGCCCTCGCCAATCTCTCTGCAAAGGTTTCGTGCAGTCTCCATGGTCTTGTGCACGCGCTCGCGCAGGCGAGGCGTGTCCTTCTTGGTGCCCAGGACGCCGACATTCTTGTAAAGGTCGCGGTTACTGGTTAATAGCGTCTGCAACTTGGTCTTGAGTTCTCGCTGGAGGTGCTGGAAGTCCGGGTCGTCACTGTACCCGCCTTGCTGGCCGGACTCGAGGTTGGAGAGTTGATCGTACGACATGTCGGCGCTCGCTACGCTGGGCGATGCTGGGACCAAAAGAGAAATAGACTCTCACAGCGGGGGAAATGCTGCGCGGCTGTAGACGATACGAGCAAATGTGAATGTGATGTGTTGGAGGGAGTGCTGCCCTCCGGACCCTACGTAACCTCCGCAACAAGATCAACGACCCATCAAACGGAGAATGCGTCAGTCGACAAAAGAGTGGGGCACCGTCGTGCGTGAAGCTTGGGCCGGTGCCTGTTCAAGCTGCCCCTGTCAACTGTTGGCGTGGGGGCAGTGAAGGGCAATTGAGGCCATTATCAGCACGTGATTGATATCAGATAGTTGCTGGATCCCTATCCTTCTGTGGCCTTGGGCCTGGATGCGCATGCCCGCTAATGAGTGCTGTCGGTATTGCGGCTCCACAGCTGGGCGCGTTGCCATTGTGCCAGACACTTTGACTCTGGTGTTTTTTTATTTACCTGTTGGCGACCTCAACCCCAGTCACCTTGAACCTCTTCCCATCGGGCAATGCGAATGCGCCGTCATCATGGCGGGCGCTCCAGTGCGAAGAGCTCCTTACAAGGACACTTTGCAGCCTGCTTTGCATAGGCGCTTTTCCTCAACCGCCATTCTTCTGCTGGCAGTGTCGTATTTGGAAGCCTTGCTCCTTGCCAACTGGAGCTCATGTTTGTTCTGCCTCGTCCATGTCCATGCATCCACGTTGCGAGACGTTATGCTAACCCCTCGTTCATCGTTGCAGATTTCTGGTCATGGTTTCCAATTGGGCCCGCCGGCTTCCGAACTCTACTCATCTTCTCTTGCGGACTGTCAATCCTCATCCTTCGGATCGCACATTATCATGTCGGACTGAAAACGACCGAATCTGGGTTGCAGGCTCTCGGCTCGTCTCTGCTTAGCCCCCCAACCTACGAGACGGCTTTATGGTACAGCATCTCGAGCTTCCTCTTCTGCTCCATCTTTTTGTTCTCAATGTCGGAATCTTCCAATCTGCACTGGATCACCTACCTTAGTGGCACCCGGGCACGACTGAACGAGAGGCCATTGTTTCTTGCTTCTTACTTGGGCGTCTGTGCTCTTTTTCAAACCATCACTCACTACAAAACTGATATTGACCGCCTGAATTTTGACATCTCCAAGCACCAGACTAGAGTACAGCAAAAGGCGCTAGGCGTTTTGCCGCGGTCTTTTCAAATCGTGCTGCTACAGCTTCCTGGCGCCCTTGCGCAATCCGCACAGCAAGCCGTCTCTGCTCTACTCGCGAGTCTTTTTATATACTACTTCATTCTGCGATCCTCTGCCTGGGGCTGGGCTTTGACCTTCCTTCGCCCATTTTACAGTCTCCCTAAAACCAATATTGTCCCCGCTACCTGGCCGACCGACATATACTTGTTAGTACGTTGCATTTATGCTGGGACACTGATGCAGTTTGTGTGGGCGGCGGGAAACACAGCTTTTTCCGTGTTCATGGTCAGAGAGCCCCTGAAAAATGGAAACCCTTTGACATCAGAATCAAAGGATCCAAATGGCAGTCTCCTTAACGGACTCAAGAGCAAGAAGCTCTCTATCAAGGTGAGGCGAGACTCCACTCGGCATGATCGTGCGGTATGACTGACAGAGTGCTAGTCTTTTGCCATGTGGGAGCTTGCTCTCATTGCTCGAGATTTTGAGGTTCGGCGACAGGCTATTTTTTGTGATATTGACCGCAAAGATGGCCCCATGTGGTCACAAGTCTATTCAATCTGCATGGAACTTCTGAAGCAAATTGAAACTCGTGTTGATGAGTATGGGAAACCACCGCCATCGGCTTTCGCACAACCCAATCCGGTCGTCGAGACAAAGCAGCGTACAACAGCTCCGGTTCGACGGGAAGCCATCTTCACTAAGAAGGGCGAGACGCCTCGACTTCTTGGCGGGGTGGAAAAGGCCTTGGACCAAATTGCCAGAACCCCTGGCTCATCTCCAGTGTCCGAACTCAGCCCCTTGGCCAAGAAGACGTGGAAGGATGCCAAGGACAGAATGCTCACCAGGGAACAGCAGGAAGCGCTGTCTCCCGAGCATCTGCGAAGCGAATTTGGCAACTGGACGACTAGTCTTTTGAGAATTGGGTACATTGGCCGTCTGTTCCGTCACGATTTCCGCACTCGGATTGCCGGCGTCGTCCTGGGTACGCCATACGCTGAGCCAACTCTGTACACCAACGCTTCCCAGGCTCTTTGTCTGTTGGCAGTCCACAGCCTTGCTGAAGACCAATTTGGAAACGTTCACAGAGATGTTCCCAGCATCATCCGCACTCTGACTGCTGTCATACGGAAGGTTGAAGGCCTATATCAACGCTTTCCATTGCACTGGACTGATCCGAGTGGTACCAAGGAGTCACCAGAGGTGGACGAGATCCTAGATGCTCTAAGGACCGGCTTGGAACAGGTCGTGGCTCAATTTGAGCCATACAGCAGCGATCTAAGACTATCCCTAGGAGATGTTCGCTTAGCCAAGGAAGCTATTGTGAAGCCTGAGAGGGAGGCTCCCGCTCCAAAGGAAAAGGAACTAGTGGTAAAGCCAAAGACTATTGATGAGAAGAATGTAGAGCCGTCAAGGAACCGGCGGGAGTTTAAACCACAAATGGAACAAGCACGGTGAAAAGTGAGCTTGGGACTGGGTCGGCGCAAGGAGCATACCAGCATTACGATACCAAAATGGTAGAGAAAACGTATTTTAACAGAGGAGATAGAAGAGGGAAAGCTGCCTCGAATACCGCATACTTTGCAAGTTGGTTGACTTTATAAGCGACATCTCAGAGAAGCCTTTTTGATTTTTGATTTTTTTTTTTTTGGCTCATCGTTATGAGTGTTGGAAATGGTTTGCCAATAGAAGAGCTAGCCGTTGGCAACTAAGTGAACTAGCCACTTACTTACTTAATTAAGTTAGTCCACTTAGTTGCCAACGGGTAGCCAAAGCATGCTGGACACCGTCCATGTCCGTGACATTGGTGACGGAGTTGAGTCTGGTGCTTGGCAGGACCCCAGCCGCGGCCCACTTGCTCAAAGCAGCGGAAGCATGCTTGTAGCCAACAGTCGGGCTCACAGCTCAATCCCACCCGTCACACCTCAATGCTTCTCCTTCCCTTCCACCTTTCTTCCTGCTCCTACACGCAACAACGCTACATTCTTCATAGGGATCAGCACCATTCCCGTGTAGCCATGCGACCCCTGCTGACCGAAATACCCGAGGCGAGATGCTAGATGCCTTGGCGAGCACCTCGACGAGACAGCCATGCAACAGCGACGCCTCTTCTCTCGCTTCCTCTACGGATCCGTATACATCCTCTTGTACCTCGTACTCCTCGGCCTGCTGCTCATTACCCCCGGCGATGCCATCGAACGATCCATCAGCAACGGCCAAAATTACAATGTTCTCATTGTGACGATATCGTATGTGGTGACGGTCGTTATTGTCGTCTTTATCTACGTCTTGCGACTGTATACTACAAAAACGGCCATTGCCGCAATTCCCAAGACGTGGGCACCCATTGACAAGGGGGACGTCAAGGATATCGTGTATAAAATGATTCATGGGGGCTTGAATCGCAGCGCGGCGATTGCGTTTGCGGCGCGACCTAGAGAACAGATTGATTCGGATGACGTGCTTGGCGGAAACGAAAGTGGTGAAGCGGGAGCTCGACCTGTTGGCGGGCTGAAGAAGACCAAGACAGTTGCTGAGGATTTAGATTTGCCTCTCCCCCCCGAGCGGCCTGTTTGGGGAGAGATTGAACACTATGGTTGGGCTTCGCCGAATTCGCCTGATCTGCGGAATCTGCAGTACAGCAGTGTTTTTTCGGAGCTGCCGAATCTCATTGAAGCCAAAGCTCTGACAATGGCCCCTATTGAGGAGCAGGGTTTGGGCGCTGATCCGCCGATGATGGATGCCGAGGCTGCCGGGTTATTGCAGCGCACGGCGAACATGACGATGCGAGAATACATACACCACCTTGGGAGTCTTGGCGTGATAATCGTGGACGAAACGGCTTCTCAGTTTCTTGCGCAGTACGAATACGCGCGCTTCTCCAACCGGCCTATATCTAACGAACAGTTCCGGTCCCTGATGCACCTGTTTGCTGAGGTACTAAGGGGCGTGCAACCGTTGGATCTCGGTTTTCTGAACTCTCCGGAAGATGCAAGCTACGGATGGGGCCCCTCGGAAAGTGACATTGATAACGACGCGCCACTGGATACAAACCCCCCTTCTCCGCGAAGCAGTATATCTCGTGCTGGGACAACAAGCACGCACAACTCTGTGCGCCGACCGCCCTTGCGAATCCACTCAGCACAGGCGCGGAGTTTCCGAAGTGCCCCTACTACACCGGGTAGTAGAACGGCTGTACTGTCTCATAAATCGAGTGAGCATAGCTTTGCCCAGACGAGACGGCAGTACCCCGTCAGTCAACCCTCAAGCTCGAGTCTGAGATCCAAGGCTGCGAGCGCCGTGAGTAGCAGCGATTCGGGATCCGTCATCCGTCTTGCTACCAGGGACGATGATGAGCAGCTTCCGTATGTGCTAAATCTGAGACCAACGACGGGCAGTTGATGATGGGACCAGGTGCGGGTTTCTTGTACAAATTACTTTTTTGGACAAATGACGATAAAACGATGTTATATACAGGCGTGGTTGCATATTTTCAGGGTAAAAATATAAGATAATAGACATACTTGTGTATTTTTGCACATCAAAGCTGGCATATGTCGGAGAGGTTGTGCAGGGTATCTCGTAGGATGCAACGTTCTGTTCAACAGGGTTGACCCTGTAAAACAGTGCGAATTTTGCTTTGCGCATTCTATTTTGACTACAAGCCAATATTTTAATATTTCATCTCTATTGTAGCATATTGACGCTCATCACCATGTGCGTTGGCGCCTGCCTAGGCAAGCTATACTTGCGCCGCGCAAACATGCAAGCTATCAGACAGCTTGATCCGCAGTGCTATCTGTGATCCACTATCTGTCGACCTGGTTGCCCCACCTAACTTGACCCTTTTTTGAACCTCCAACTTGCCGCCTCGCATGATTATGTACTCGACTTCCGTCTTTGCAAGCAAACCCCAATTGAAGCTGCAAACCGCACCTTGCGCATTCTCAAACCTCCCGTCTCTACTGTATCCAGACACCCCGCTTATGATAAATACCGGGCGGCAGCAAACATGCCGGACAAGCCGCCACCGCTGCCCGTGGCCGCCGACCGCCTTGCCATATCCAACCGCCTGTCCATGCTGTTCGCGGACCGCTCAGCGCTCATAAAGAAGCTGGTTCCGCAGTCCTCGACAACCCGCAACCCCAGCCGCCGCGCCCGCCCCCTAGACGACGACGACGTCTTGTTCGGGGCACCCGCGAACCAGGGCGTGGGATACGTCTCGGAAAAGCCAACCAGGGACACGAAGCGAGAAGACAAGATGCTGCGGGCCAAAATGCTAGGCAAGAGAAGGGCCGGCACGTCGGGGGCGATATCGAAAGCGCAAGAGAGCGAGAGCGACGACGAGCAAGGGAGGGGGTCGCTGGGGAAGAGGAAGCGCCCGAGGAGGGCGAAGGCGAGGGCGGATGAGCCTGCCGAGGCGGGGAACGGTACTGGTGATGGGCAGGACGCGGTCGCCGAGGCTGAGAATTACGCTGCGACGGAGGCGCGGGAGAGCTCGCCGCAGATGCAAGATGCTCGGCCGAAGAAGAAGAAGAAGAAGAGGAAGCGGAAGAACAAAGGGCAAGAATAAAGTCAACGGAAGTGGGGGGTAGAGTTGATTCTTCTGTATGGAGATTCTTGGTACAAGAAACCGGCTACAGTCACAGTTACTTTGGGCATATATTGATCGGAAGCAAGCGACGGGCGTTTTGAAACAGTTTGGTTCTGATGATTTACACAGTTTACAACCAGGCAGCAAACATCCGTGGATACCATGCATAGACGCAAGCGCAACATAACACTACAACCACCTGTTCTTGTAAATTCGTATCCGCCATTCAATGCATTTTTTAGTGGTATGGTATCTGCCACTCCTAGTGTCATCCCGATCACGAATACGCCAGTTCCCTATGCACAATATTCCACTACTTTGTACTCTCATATTCAAAATCCCGCGGAGATTATACCCATGACAATGACTTGTCCTTGCACCAATTATCCCTTGACCTTCCCGCCGGTTAATATTGTTCCGCATCGTGCCACACAAAATACATGTGCAGGTTCCAGCAAACCTCTGCACAAGACGCCCAAGAAACGAAGCACAACATGCGCTCCTTCCAGCAAGGTGTAGTTGGCAGACAATATAAGACTGACACACTTTGTATCTCGCCGAGTAGCTGTAAGATGAACGCCCCCAAAACATACAGAACTAGTATTTTCGTCACGCTTCGTCGTTCCTTCAGATCCTAGGATCAACAAATTTTTTTAAAAAGTGAAAAGAAAAAAGCGTCTCATCCAGAATATCGCTCAAAAAAGACTGGATTGGTGGCAACTTTGTAAACTCGCACCACTGCGTTGGCGGATTAACAAGATATTCACTTTTGATACCCGCAGTTGTAACCTCACTGCATTCGTTTTCGTTTTCTATCATCATCACCACGTGGATCTTCGTCCTCATCTGACCTCTCAGCTGTGTCACTTGGGTTCAAGATGTGCGCCATGCTGCCTCTTCTGGTCGGAGGCGCCGATGAATCTTTAAATAGGGGTCCCTTGGTGTCCCTATTGCCTGCCGAATTCCAGGACCAACCACCAAATGCATCTGCCCCATTGCTACTGCCATTGGCAGGTGCATGAGGGGGCGGGGGAGTGGTGGGTCGAGAATGCGGATGAGAATGTGAAGCCGTCTGCAGCGAGTATGTCGATAACGATTCTCTTATACGCTGGTCCTCCGGAGCCACTCTTCCAGGTGACGACGGCCATGGGCCGGGAGGCGCGTTAGATGCCGAGAAGGGGGAGGGTCCAGGTTGCCATCCATGCGCGCGAATGTCAGCAGCAGTGTGTCTTCGAGCCAGGTTGCCAGGTGGTGTTTCCACGTTTGAAAGGGGATGCGGACCCGAAGGGGGCGGAGCCGCAGCATTGCGGAGAGGCGAGGATTGTGTAGTGCTGCTGCCACCAATTGAGCCGTATGGACGTCGCGCTCCGAGTGTAAGAGACGATGGTACACCAGGCCGATATAGGGGCTGCCCTCGGGCCTGGGACTGCGGTACTGCTAGTCCACCAGCTGGTCGTCTGGAATCATCTTGTGGCAATTGCCTTGGCGACACCGGAGGGTTGTCGACGTTGCTGAAGTATTGCTGCCGACCCACAAATGGCACATCTTGAGGCTCGTCAACTGTCCGAATCATATCGGCCTGTCGTTGTATCTCTCCTTGCAGACCCATCACTAAAAATAGATTAAGCATCAGTATGGTTATAGATAGATGAGGTATCTGTAGCAGGTAGAATGGCAGCGGAGTTGGAGAGCTGATCGAAGGCTGCACAATATGATTGCTGAAGCCACTTACCATCTCGGTGAATTGTACTCTCCAGCGGCACTAGCGACAACATGGCCCGAGTCAATTCTTGGTTGAAATGCAGCAATCGTCCCATAGTTTCCATCACAGTCTGATTTTTCACGTGCATGTAATGTGCGGTTTCTTCGCTTCGTTGTAATCGTGCGCTTACGTCGTAGAGGGTGTGCTCTAGATTTGCAAGTCTCGCGTCGATGCTCTCCGGGGGGACTTGAACAGGCTCAGCAGGTGTACCGGGTTGCGAAGAGCCAGGTTTCGTGAAATTGGTCTCGCGATGAACTAGAGCATGACGACTAGCTCGTCGCTTGATATCACGCAATCCAGCTATATCACCTCGCTTAAAACTGCCATTGCCATGTTTAAACTCCCACAGTGTGGTATCCGGATTGCCGGTGTGGAAGACATCTCGTTCTAGCATCATTGTTAGTGTTTTAAAGCCACGGTTATAGATATGGAATGAGCTCTCAATCAAGTACCCTTATGAAACCCATACATATTGAGCTGGCGAACAAATGACGAGATATTGGTGTGTTTGAAATATTGTCTATATTGCGATCAGCGGGCGTATAATCGGTCATCTCGAGACGGTCACGACATACGACAAGACTTTGGAAAAATCAGCAGTTGGCGACATGACAAAGCTCTCCGCATTCGAAGACCACGATATCAAGTGCTGAATGCTAGAATCTTCCAGCATGCTGCAAAACCCCGTCAGTGACACGTCCCATTGGAATCATTTGTGGCAAAGGTTCGCAATCTCACTTATACAGCTTGTGGATAAAGGCAGTTTGTACAATCTTCGGCTGGTGGACGGCAGATGAGGCAACTGTCGGCGGCGCAGGCATGTTGGATGAAGAGTCGGCAGGGTTTCGGTCATTGCTGGGAAGTTGGTTCGGTCGATTGCTCAGCTTGCCATTGGTCTCATGGTCGGCTACATGGCTCGGAGCAGAAGCGGTAGGAGAAGAAGTGATGTCCATGGCGTCGGGGGCAGATGTGGATGCGGATGTGGACATGGTGACGGCCAGCGCGGGGACGGGAACAACGCGAGTACCCATTGACCCCTCTAGTTCGTCTGTCGGCGGTTACTTTTGCGCGTGTTGGAGGAAGCCCAGTCGTGGCTATTCCTTTCGGCTAAGGCGATTGACGCGTTAGCATGACAGACGGCCAAACGAAGCAAATCTCGCACCTAGCTTGCGCTTGCGAAACTCGACTGAAGCACGGGTCATCTGGCGGGGGAAGCGGGCCAGCTCACCTCATCTCCACCGAGAACGGCGACCGGGCCAGTGCAGCGATATTGAACAAGAGATGCAGATGGGAGCCAGTGTTGAAAAACGGCAGCCCAGGTTCGAAATGGACAGCAGTGGCAGCTTCGCAAGTGATGGCCACGGCGGACGGAGAATGCGCCGCGCGGCGAAAGGAGGCCGTCGAAGAAGTCGTGGATCCCGGTGTCAGTGGGAGCTATCGACTTCGGCTGTCGCGCGACGTCGCAAAGAGATGGAACCGCTGGATGCGCCGGGCGCCGATGCGGTCGACGATGATGCGGTCGACGCAATGGGCGCGCCGAGAAGGAGGCGAGTGTCTGAGGTTCTGGTACTTTTGGAAGCTCCCACGAAAGCTCTAGAGTCGCCAGGAGGCCAAGTCTCGGGTCCGGAGTTGATGGAGGTTGGTTGTTGGTTGGGAGAAGACTGGAAGAGGAGGACACATGCAGGACCTTGGGAAGCAGCTAGCGTCAACTGGTCCGATACTCTGGACAACGTACGGAGGACCGCGTGCTGTGTTCCTCTAGGCCAGATAAGGCATCTGTCGAGGAAGGTGCAGTCCAAAAATGGCGCCTGGGGTGCTCCGTACCTAGAGTCAGCTCAAGAGGAACTCCACCGCCTCTAGAACTCGGAGGCGACGAGGGCGGCAGTACTCCGTACCTGGGCAAAGACGAAGGTATCGGGGCACGTCTATGGCCTGGGCAAGATACTCGGGCTGTGTACCAGGTACGGGGTACGTACCAAGTTGTGCGAGTAGTACTGCGCCTAGACGGTGGGAGTGGAAGGAGCCGCTAAGGATTTCAAAGTGCTCCACGGAACATTAAATTCATATTGACTGCAGCTATTGCTTACGATACCTACTACTTAGGTACTTAAGTAGGTAGTAGAAATGCCTGGACGTGCGGTCTGGTGGGATTGACAGTTCTCCGGGTACAGGCGTAGTAGGTAGCTGTGGGGAGGGTTTGGGAGAGCACCTGCTCCAGCTGTAATATCAATCAATGTATTACTGTCTGTTCAATGTCGAGGAAAAAATATGAGCAAGGCACCCGTTTAAGGTGTGCCTTCCTTGGCCAGCAGCAGCCAGTAGTAGCGCCGGGACATTGGCCCCGTTGAAGCTTCCAGATGCTAGATTGCGTTGCCCTAGTCCGCCCAACACCCCCGAGCTACACCATGAGATGTGGAGGCCCGGACGACCAACAATCTGCAGGAGACGCAGCTTGGCAGTCGAAATTAGTGATGCACCAACGTCAGCAGCGTCCATGTCAAAACGTTCATGGCACGAAAGGGTCCAATGTTATGGGCCACGAGTCCACGACCCATGGCAACTGCGTTTCCAATCGTCTTCGTATTTTGTTACGGAGAAGCCCCAGACGAACTGCCAAACGTTTACCTGGATCCTTGGTCAAGCTGTGCTCAGGCGACGACTCGGAGGCTAACAGCCACTCGGACATGCCCTTGTGCCTTGGACGCTTCGCAGCTGCCTTTTTGTCCCATCGGCCGTTCATTACTGTATGTACATACATACATACTTAAGTAATTATGTAGATAGAGTCTGGACATGCCACAGCCCGGGTCCCACGCATATTAATTCCCACCCTTCGTCTTGTATCATTTCTTTTTTGTCATTGGGACCATTCCCTCCCCTTGCTTCATACCCGAGTCAATGTGTTCGACGGCGACGCCGGTCCTCTGTCAAGAAGCCCCATACGCACGAAATATTCGTCCCGCCGTGGATACCTCGCAACCTGCTCCGTACCAGCCAAGGCTTCTTCTCCAGGTAGCCAGTATTCATGCTTAGCTCCTGATTGCCGACCAGTGACATAAATATGGCGTGGCATTCGTGCACCATCAACACCAAGCCTGCGACCCACTCTGAGTTGTCATGACCTTCCTCAGAACCGTCCCAGCGCGTGGACCAGGGATGCATCTCAGGGACTAGGTATCCCATTGAGTGTGCGAAGGTGCAGCTTTTGTAGCGGACCGGGATGTGGGCCAATGAGAAGCCAATTATTAAAAGATACTCATCTTTCCTAATAAATAATACAAGATCAAGTACTAGTTATCTATAAATATATTTGAAGATATATTATGATACCTAATAAAATCTAATAATAAAAGTGTTTAAATGTATTGCAAGAAAGTGGGACCGCTACATAACCTGCCCCTTCGCACACTCATGGGATGGAGTACCCGGTTGCTTATCCAAGTACGGAGTATACGGAGTTAATAGTCATTTGCCTAGAATTCTCCGCATGTACGCCAGGTAAAACAAGGCCCTTTACTCCTAGCTCTTTTCGCGCCCCGAAGACAAGATTCAATGGTCCGACGATACGCCAAAAGCAGGCCTCGCAACCATCCATCATCATGCCGTGTCTGATGCAGTGGTGCCTCTCCTTTGGCTCCTAGTGCTCATGTACCTGTGCAAGTTTGCCTGCAATACCGCCCGCCGGCTGTTGGAGGCTGAAAGACTCATCAATTGATTGAGAGCCATGTACGGAGTATATCTGTCTCCACCGATTCCATGGTCACGCCAACCAGCCGGACACGAAGCCGGGTCACCTAGCCACCAAAGGCCATGCAAGACGTCAGTCCCCGGCCCACATGGACTCCGCACAGTAGTATTGATCCTAGAGGGTGAGATGACAAGGGAATGCCATGAGTTATCGAGTTACAATGTTGGTCAAGGTCAGGGCGAACGAAGCATTGGCGAATTCTACCAAACATCCCGTGCTCTGCTACGATATGAATCGTCCCAACGCTTGATCTAGTGCCATGCCGATCAGATTTGATCTGCTAGCGCTCGTCTTGTCGATCTGGAACGATGGTCAAAGCCATAGGGAGCCAGGGACCAAGAGTTGAGCCTTGCGCCATACCGTTGACCTGTGACTGGTGACCTGTCTGTGATCGGCCAGAGCGAGCGAGGGCGCAGCCTGCCGCGGTTGATCAGTGGTCCGCCAAGCTCGAGGCGCCGCCAGATGCGATTCATACTACAAGTACGGAGTAGTACTAGTATCCCCCAGAATCCCAGATGTCGTGTGCTCAAGTGCTCCCTGGCCGCATTTTGAAGCCGTCCCAGGTCACTGACTGGCCCATTGAGCGGCTTTCACGGACTTCGCCTGTCCATGGGGCAAATCCCTATCGCAACACTCCTGCGGGAAGAATACTGCTAGTAGTACTATCGTTCCCTAGCTCGAATCAATCACGTCACGTTGGCAGAGCGATATACAGTTTCGCTTGTTGCGGCGGCTTTGTGTGCTACGACTCACGGATTGAATTTTCATCATTCTTCTCCAACTGGGTTCGGTATAACTCAGCCGTAGTCGCCAAGGCTAATTTTTACGACTGATACGTGTCTCATAGTGTCCCCATGCCATGTTTCCATGTTGAGAAGCAAGAGGTTCCTTGAAACGAACGCTACCTGAATCGTTGTTCCTTGCCATGGTCTGCACCCATGGACATGCGACGGTGCCACACCTCAAAACCAATTAGAGAGGGATGTCATAATGTCGGCCGTTATCGCGTTGGTGGTGGTCTCCCACGCCCAGGTTATTAACCGTCAAGTCCTTCTCGCTAGCTCCCAGCTCCCTGTTCTAGGCCCCTGTCCTTGCAAGTGGCTTCAATGTTGCGGAGAGAGCATCGCCGCCCCCATCCTCATGGCTAAGTGGCCTCGGCAAGGAGGAGCGATGAGGATAGGACCACAGTGAGATGCATCAACAACGGTTTCGCCAACTGCTCCATGGGCGTGCATCGGCACGCATACAAACACGAAAGACGGCGGTGCCGCTAGCTGCTCGAAGCTGCTACACAGCCCGGCCTGGAAACATGTGTGTGAAAATTCGAGTTCCCCTGTCGAGAAAGCCTGGATGTGACGCACACGAGCCAGGAACAACCACCCAGCTGGAATTAAACCTCTGTCAATCAGATGGAGCTCAATGGTGGACCGCTGGCCCAACCGCGGAAGAATGCACATCTCGCCTTGAGCCTGTTGAGAGCAGCAAGGGAATCTTGTCGTAGCGGTTCATCTTGCAATCAGTGGCATGACTTCTACCGGAGTGGGACGAGAAAGATCAATAGATAGATTTTGGCGACTCGAAGGAATATCCGGCTGTTGTGGATGAATCCTGAGAACCCCACGACGTTGACAAAAGTTCTTATTAAAGTTGGAGTGTTTTGTTAACAAAGTACACATGTACAATGTCTGGCAGACTCAATGGAAGCTTGGAACAGCACCTTCAACAAGTGAACATCTGTGTTATGTGCAATTGTGGAACAGGTTGGTCAGTAATGCCTTTGCCGCTTCTGTTGTACAGACAGAAGATGAATTGGAAGGATCCAATCGGAAATGCAGGGCGACCCCTAACGCAAGCCGACACAAGCAGGGGGAGGCAAGAAGTTTTTGGCCAGACCAGAACCTGGCCATCGCGGTTTTATACTATAATACTCGACGCTACAGGATTAGCAATACTTGTTAATTTGTAGACAAATACATAAAGTATGTATATTCTCATCAGACCAGCTCCGTACTCTGCATGGAGCCCTGGCTTTGGCTTTGGTTAGCCTTTGTGCCAACTTTGTGCAACCCAACGAATTCCAAGCGCTGTTGTCGCGAAGCTGGGTACAGGTCAGAACTTTATCATGCCAACCCCCAGAATTCCATCCTGGTCAATGCACGTCATAAAGCGCGTTGATCGAAGATGATAGCAGCGTGCCCGGTTGACTTCCCATTCATTTATTATTTCGTGTGAATTGGAATGGTTGGTGGCATCTGACGTCTCTTGACGTAAAGGCACAAGAGATGAGCGACTGCGGTCATGGTAAGCATAAAGTTATGAACAAATAACGTCCGGTACCTTGGTAGTGAAGCAAATCTTGCTTACATACCTAGGTACTTGGCATGGATCCGGCGCTTCGCTAAACAAACTTTTTTTTTCTCTGCTTTTGCCAAAAGCTAAGAAAAAACAACGCCACAGTTACTCCGACGTTGTTTGTAGTTTTCTCATCTCGGCCACTGCGCTAATATCCGGTGCGTCAGCAAGGATCAGTTGCTTTTTCATGGCATGCATGCCAGCGGCATTTATATGTATGATTTTTTTTCTTGCAAGCCCATTAGTAGCGCCCGGGGTAACCCTGCCGTCGGAAACAGCAGCACATATTACCCGAAATAAGCGTCCCAGGGGGCTGGCTATCCCTCCAGCCTCTCAATGCAACACGTACATACAGTTTACAGTACATATACTAACTGCCGGCAGGCGGAATGTGGTGGTATCCTCCGTTAACTGTGTGGGATCCCATATCAGAGCACTGCTTTCCGACTATGAATCATGACCGCTGTCAAATGCCAACCTACCAGACATTCCACAGGGGAATATATTCGCCTATTGAGAAGTACATACATGTACCCTAATACGGCAGTGTTACTTCTCGTCTCCTACTGGGCCTGCGGGCTACCACCCAGGGATCTATCTAATAATAAACATGAGCACCAGGCCTGTTTCTCTTGCTCTTCCATGCCTTTTACCACGCAATCGTGCTGTGCGAGTACGGAGCACCGCGTCCGGGCCTCGACAGGACCTGAGAGATTCGGCCAATCGCAGCATGTCCCAGCTACCAGGTCGTTTGTGGCGTGCATATGCAGATATACATAGTTTTGCGGCGAAGAGAAAAATCTTGCAGCACGGCGGTCCGAGGTTGCATGCATGACGCCCGAGTTGTTCGGGGAGAAGCAACGACGTGGTCTGGTTCTCGAAAAATCAGTCTTGACATGGCGGTGTTTTGGATGCTGTGAGTCGACAGTCAGGGCTCCAGACCTATATATACCTCTCGTCCATGGCCGCCGCGAAATAGCAGCAGTAACAGGGATCCTGGTTTTTAGTAGGACAACCGGAGCTCACAACAATACTTACAAGAAAGAACTCTGTAGGTTCGTTGGAGAAGACACGCCAGATTTAGGGGACAGTTGTGCGTTTAGGTCTATGAATACGTAGGCAGCACAGCTACGACGGGCAGGGTAAACAGTAGCAAAGCATGAGTGGGCTTTGGAGATTCATAGACTCATATCCAAACTATCAGAGCATCGCTCACAACCCGCACCGAACTCGTTCGACCTACTCTTATGTTCACATAATATTAATAGCAGTCAAAACAAGGACTGCCTGCCCTCCATGATTAGAAGCCCTCCTCGTCCATAACGCCAACCCTCTTCTCGCCAACCTCGCGGATCTTTTCGCCCAAAACGGTGCGGCCGTAACGCTCGGCCACCTTGCCTGCCGCCTCCATCATACGGCCTGTTCTGTCACGCATAAGTTCCACCATTTCGAGGGCACGCATGCCGCGGTCTTCGCCCTGGCGACATTCCACCGCTAGTAATTGCAGAAGAGTCTTGTCGATTTCCAGCTCGATGCGGGAGAGGAGGGATCTTTGCGTGTGGTTTCCGGAGGTGGCCTCGACGAGGTCTCTTAGTTGAGCGGCTTGAACGCCCTTCAGCATAAATTGCTGCTCGAGCTTTCTCGTCTCAAAGTCTTCGCCTTCCTCTTCCTTGTCTTCGTCCATGACTTCGTCTTGCTCCTTCTCGGTGTCATCGCTTTTCTTCTTTTTCTCGGACGGTGATGCCAAAGGTATGGAGAAGTCAAACTCTGATAGCAGTGGTCGAGGGAAGTAGGGGTATTTGTCGCCTCCCTTGAGGATGATGCAGTGGAACTTGTGGTCTGCGACGGCAACTGGAAAGTACGTCTCGTTTTTTCGGCCCGACGCCAGACGCGACAGGAGTTTGGTGTCCAGTAAGGGCACCCAGCACGCACGAGATGGTTGACGCCAGTGAAGCAGTGTAAGTAAGGTGCCCGTGGAGTCGTAAATGCATGGGTCCTGGGACAGCGTAAGTAATTTCTCAACGTAGCAAATAATGGAGTGCTGGGATAACCCACGCCGTTATCTGAGAAGAAAACACTTTTGAGTGTTGCTCCTTCTGGTAAAGCGACTGTGTCCTCATTTTGGCAAATCTCATCGCGTTTGATATTTTCAATCGTGTAGAGTAGACGGGCGGTTCCATCAGATCCAACAGGGCCATTGCCAATTGTGAGCACATAGTCTCTCCAACTGGCACAAGTCACCATAGGTGAGCTTTTGGGACGATACACTCGGTAGGGCATTCCAAATAGAGTGAAAACTCGAACATAGTTGGCGGACGTGGTTACCGTAATGAACGACTCGCTCAAAGACATTGCTGTAACGGCTTCACCCCTGGGTAACTGTGTTCGCCAATCTGATCGTTGAGTCCAACTCTCGTGTGGCCTGTAGAAAATGTAGGCGGGGGCATCATCTTTGGGTGGACTTGAGAACAAGGCGCCACTTTCATTCAGACAAGCCTTGTCGTAGAGAAATGTGTCTGTAAAATGGAAGTCGCGCTGGAATTCGTGGTCATAAAACTCCACTGTAACTGTATGGTGCGAATCTTGATCCACGGTCCATACAAATCCTATGAGATTCAGGCATAGGTATTTCCTGTTCCCCATCCAAGGAGTCGAGCCGGGTTGAAAGCACTCATGGTGTTGTGGTTGCATGAGATGAGCCCTCTTGCTTGAAGGACCGCCAAATGTCTCGTCCGGATCTCGTCCTCGTTTACTTCCTCTGCCAACCGCATAACCAGCCCCGTCATCGTCGACCACAAAACCGTCATCTTCCCCATCTTCATCAAGCAATGAGCCAATGCTGTCTAACGAATCCCTACGAGGCCGACTGGGAATTGGCTGGATTTTATGACCATTGACAGGAGGTTGCTGCCGATTTCCCGATATCTCGGATAAAGGATCATGAATGAATGGAGCAGGTTGTGTGTTGAGTTTCAATAATGGAGAAAACTGGTCATGGAGGAAGTCCGAGTAGATGAAAACTTCGCCGTCTGTAGTTGCAAATGACAGAATATTCTTGGACGGATGCCATGCGAGGTCGACTACATTGGAGTAGTCAAATCGTTGAATTACACTTTGTGTCTTGGTTTCCCAGACCAAGACCTTGCCGTCCTTGCCCGCCGAAGCTAACAAGGCACCATTTGGAGACCAGGAAAGGGCAGTTATGTCGGCCAAGTGACCATCAGCGAAGCGTCTCTGCTTCTCCCAGTCGTTCTTGGAAATAACTTGGATATCTTTAGTCGGGGTTGGCACGGCAAATGCACGTCCATCAGGATGCCAAGCAACTTTGGTTGATATCTCAGAATCAGAGTCCACGGTTCCAATTATTCCATCCACTTTGCGGATAAGTTCAGGCTCCTCGGATGTCAGGGAATAAATGTATATGATACCGTCGGTACAAGACAACGCGGCTAGCCTTCCATGGGGCTCCAGGGAGACATGCCTGGCAGGCTTGCTGTGCTCTCGCAAATGCTTCATCTGTGTGATATCCATTATGTTGACAATCTTAACACTAAGCTCATCGCTAGCAACAGCACACCATTGACAGTCGCGAGTCAATGCAACGTCTCTGATGGGAAGAGTGGTACGCAGAAGAAAGCGTTCAAAGTTGGCAGCCTCGATGTTGTAAAGACTGACGGTGCCATCTTCGGAACCAACGACAAAGAAGTCCTTCCCCGCTGAGATGGACACGTTTTGCTCCTGGCAGTCGTCTATGTTTGTAGGCTCGCCGTCAGAGCCGGTTTTGTAGAGTCGAATGGTGTTGTTCGAGCCGACAGTCACCAGTCGATTGCCATCGGTCGTATACGCACACCGGGTGGTTCCCTGGGTATGGGCAGGCCGTGGCCGCGGCCGCGATGCTGTCGAATCCATTGTTGTGTAAAGAAAGGTTTCCTCAAAAGACGATGTAAGTCATCTACGGCCCCTCGATTCACGTCAGAAAGCCCCGAGGCTACCAAATACAGACATGGGGGATAACTGTGTGAGAAGTTGATCGGTATCTTGGTAGTCCATCCTGTGACACGCGTCGAGCGCGTTCTAATTAATTGAAAAGACGCGTGACGGCCCCACGTTTGCCCACCAAAAGCTACTGACGATTGATTGGCCCCTCAAGCGTTGCGGCCTCGAACTCCAGAGAGCCGTGGAAAGTTGCCCCACCACATCCCACCAACATGCCTCACAGCACAAGGCGGTGGGTAGAAAGTTGACAATTGTCAAAAGATTTGCTTATTGAATGTCGAGCGTTGGACATGAGAAGAAGTTGTATGCATAGACGACACATACACCACAGCGTTTCTCACCGAATCACGCACATAAGCTTCCTCTGATCAAGCATGGAATCTGTTGACCCAGACCACTTCTTTGAGACCGAGTGAGTTTCATCACCACGCTTTGCAACGAATCTTTTCAGGACCAAGAAATGCTAACCCTAAGTAGTGCGTCTCAAGCACAGAGAGCGAGGAAAGCCGCCAAGGCTGGGAACAAACATGGTGACCCTTTGGAAATGAAGTCCAAGATTCTGGCTGCGGTCCCAGACCCGAAGTCACCACTATCGGGCATTTTTGTTGCCGAGTCTGCAGGTTTCGTCCGGCAAGTCAAATTGACTGTATGTAGCCTGCATCTCACCCTACTACTCTGCTGACTGATGTGTACTCAGTCTTCCGAACCACAAGCGACCTATCGTGGCCCCAAAGCCCCAGTTACTTGTCTGGCAATAGGGGGTGCGGACAACAAGACCATTTTTGCAGGATCATGGGACAAGGATATCTGGTCATGGGACATTGCCTCAACTCACCTTGGACGCAAATATAGCGGCCATTCTGATTTTGTAAAAGCAGTACTTTGCGCCAAGCTCAAAGACAAGGATATTCTCATCAGTGGTGGAGCCGATAAGAAGATTCTCGTCTGGGATATCGAAACAGGTCGTAGATTGCACACCATTCAAGACCCCACGACAGCCATGCTCGCCATTCAGCATTTAGCTTTGGATCCGGTACTCACCACCCGGGAAGAAATCGTGTTGGTAAGTGCCGGCAGCGATCCTCATATTCGGCGATGGAAAGTTCGTCTTGATGGCTACGAGCAAATAACAGAGACATTTCACGACCGCCCTGGCGCCGAGAGGTTGACCATTGAGGAGCACGACACGAGCGTTTATAGGCTGGTGTTTGACGTGGATGGGGAGGATGTGGACTTGTGGACTGCAAGTGCAGACGGAACGGCAAAGTGCTTATCTAGGTCCCGGAACTTTGTCGCCGAAGATGATCTGAATCATGGTGACTATGTTCGGGCGGTTCAACCAACCGAACAATGGGTCATTACCGCTGGAAGAGACGAACATGTCAAGGTATGGGACAGAGCCACGGGGAAGCTCTATTGCTCTCTGGAAGGCCACTTTGAAGAGATCACAGACCTGGTTCTGCTTCGCAATGCTGAGGGCTCGCCCGAGAAAATTTGCAGTGTCGGTATCGACAGGACGATACGTACCTGGCCGCTTCAAAAGACGGATCTGGATGATGTTGTCAAAGAGGTTGAAGAAGCCAAAAAGTCAAGTATCAAGGAGGCCGAAACCGGTGGCGAGAGTCTCCTGACTGCTGAAGAGGAAGCAGAGCTAGCAGAACTAATGGATGACTGAAGTTCAACGGAGTATACAACGCTCGAAGAAAGAAATGGACCAAGTCAAGCAACAGCATTTTCCACCGAATCATCAACACTGCGTGGAGTGACGTGCATTGCCAATTCCACCTCTTGATTCCATTGAACAAGCCGCTGTTCCCTGCAGAAAAACGGCCGGTTCCTGATCTCGCCAGACATCAACTCGAAACGTGGCAGCAGAACATACAGCCTTTTTTTCTGACGTTGTCAACCTGGACTTGTGCAGTACAATGATTAAATTGCTACGCGAGATTACAAGCCACGGAAGCACCGAGCCGGGGAGTGAGCCCGATAATCAATGTCTCAGGCGGCAACCTAGAGGATTAGGCCGAGGAGCAGGGCCTAGATCGGCTAACAACTCACGTCTTTTCGTTTGTGGCGCGACCCTGCATAGCATTTTGAGCACACAGGACAGAAGAAAAAGCATCAACTGAGCAAACCAGCAGACAGCACACCCTCTTTTGCGGCACGAGACACGAAGTCCACGCCACCATGTGTAACAGTCGAATTTCGCGTTTTGGGCCAGTGTGTGTATGCATGTATGTACTACTCCGTAGAACGCCCTGTGGCTGCAAAGTCAATGCAGACAGAGAAAATCTCTCAATTCTTGTTCGACATGATTTGTTGACCCCCACGATAGGAAAGCTCGGTGTTTTACCGCTGATTTTGCCCAGCTCAGCAAACTTTGAGCTAGGCTGATACATGAAACAAAATTTGCCCGATGTATTGATTGATGGATACCGACTTGTGTTCGTATATCCACTCCTTCTCCCAATCTTGATACCTTTCCTGTACTACCCTGTTCCATGATTCAATGCGTCGCCATGACTCTTGGCCACATCGGCTTGATCTCGATATCCTACGTGGAGTCAAGAAGTAGACTTTCAGGCGGTTCGATCGAGATTGAGAATGGGATACTAGCCCGTCCCCAGAGCCCGTTTTCTCTAGCCATAATCTGCACGATTGTTTCAACACTAGCACGTACATGGTGCTGCATGGTTGTGGATATGGTTAACAGGCTGTTAACGTTACCGTGTTAGAGATACTACGCAGATGATGGAGAATGCTGGGGAAGACTTGCCGGCCGAGAAGGGTCAGGGTTTGCCGGTCTCAATGACTCGCACCGCGCAATGCCGGCAAAACAATGTTCTAGCCTACCCCTGCCGAGGACATTTCCGAGATCAAGTCCTTTCCGCGAGACATTATTTTTCTTCTTGTTTTCGCTTTGGCTCTTTCCGCGTTTTGAAACATGGCTTCCCGTCATCAACCACATAAACTGTCTCAACAACGACGCATTACCAGCTGATACGCCACGCGAGTATTAAAGATTCAGCTTGCGGATCTGTCAGACTCAACATGTGTGCGGGGTGCTCCGTGCCGTAAAGACTACTAGTCGTTCTCTGTATGTACATGCCGACAACGGTACTTCGTATTTGCGCATCGCTCACGACACTGGCCTCTTGGTGGGCAAGAAATGCCACCCGATCAGACCCCTGCATGCTATACCGGCCCAAGACATGCACAAATATACGGAGCACCGCACGGCCATATTACAATACAACCCGAAAATAAATGGCCCGTCATAGGCCAACAGGAACCGGCGTAACAGGCTCAGCTCAGCTCCATCACCCGAGAAGGCAAATAACCTTGCTCAGTGGAGAATGTTGTCCGGCTCGTCACTTTCCTTTCACTTCAGGGGTGCTCCGTACGTTAAGCCAAGAAGGCAACCCATTCTGGTTTCTATGGGCGTCAACTTTCAAGGGCCCAGCCGCGCTGATAACGATACCAACAAGATCTTGGCGATGATGGTGCGAATTCTCGGGGTGGTACTCCGTACTCCGTGATCCGTACGATACGTGGGCAAGATTCGCGACAAGATTCCGTCGAGATCTCCTCTTCCGGCCGACGCTATCAAGCGCCCCTCCCCCCATTTCTTGGCCTCCGTTTCTGATTTGGGCATCTGACATTGCTGCGATAACTCCGTAAGTAGTTAGACGGTCTGCTGAAAGAGCTCGGAGGGGGTTGCTGAAATGCGCCTTGCCCATGTGCTGAAGTGACGTGCCGGTAACAGCAGCGCCAAGTGAAGGCCGGTTTCCCCCCTCTGCATCCCCTTTAGGTCAACTTGCTTACGGTGGCAAGGATGCCGTCCGGCATAATAGTAGATAGTAATCATATTATGACTTTATTGCCCAGGTTACAAGACTTTGTGGAGCCCACGTGAGTACCGTTCTGGCCCCAGAACGACGCGCCCAGGAGATACTATAGTTGATGCGACGACACAGGTGACGGCAGTTGTGCTTTTCCTCGGTTATCCAGCCAGCCAGCCAGGATACTCTCCACATGAATTGCCAACGTTGATGAGCGGGTTTGCAAAAAAAAAAAAAAAACAATTCGATTCATTGGGCATGACGGGCCCCTGCCGGACCATTCCACCGACGGCTGTCCGTGGTGCGATGAACTTGACGCTTCACGAACGAGCCCAGTCAAACGAGCCGGGTACCAATGTATGTATGTTGTGCGCTCCGTTCCGTGTACAAAGTATCACTTTCTCCTCCGTGTTTTGAGGCATACGTACATATGTATGTACTAGTATTAGGAATAAGAATGGAGAACAGTTCTCCGATCATTCACAAACCACGATTGCGGGTCGACCTGATTCCATGCTCACGCATACTAGGCTTCTCAAAGTGTAAAATAATCGCCTCTGTTCCTAGTATTAAATAGCACCTCATGCATTCCTATATTGTGAGTACGGAGTACAATTCATCAAGATATGACAGAATACATCATGCATCGCTCCAAGCAAGGTAAACATCACGCTCCAGCAAAAGGGGCTGGCTATGCCCTCATGCCCACATGGCTGTGGAACTGTGCGCTGACACCAGCGGTCCCGTCTAGCTGGGGTTCTCCGAATTGCAAATACGGACTTCGTCTGTACTCCGTGCATGCAGAAGCAACTGATGAGACAATTCTAAATGCTCCGAGGTTGGACGGTTGTGCCGCAATGCACAGTCTATGTCCCGTGCAGTGTGGACCAAGCGCTCCGTCCATGAACCCAACCCAGTCGCCAGGAACTACACCGCCTCGCTCGAGCCTGCCAGGCCAACAGCTAATTTTAACATCTTAGTTAGCAGAGCTACTCCGTATGTAGTATGTACAGTACAATTCATGGAAACTATCACTTAATATCCATGTGACAGAGGTCGGCGTTCTTGCGT